GTGTGTGTTTCTCACACCGATAGTCTAGTCTTTACTGTGTGTGTGTGTGTGTGTGTCATTGTGTGTGTTTCTCCACACCGATAGTCTAGTCTTTACTGTGTGTGTGTGTGTGTGTGTGTGTGTGTCACTGTGTGTGTGTGTGTGTGTGTCTGTGTATGTGTGTTTCTCACACCGATAATCTAGTCTTTACTGTGTGTGTGTGTTTGTGTGTGTGAGAGAGAGAGTGTGTGTCACTGTGTGTGTGTGTGTGTGTGTGTGTGTCACTGTGTGTGTGTTTCTAACACCGATAGTCTAGTCTTTACTGTGTGTGTGTGTGTGTGTGTGTGTGTGTGTCACTGTGTGTGTGTGTGTGTGTGTGTGTGTGTGTCTGTGTATGTGTGTTTCTCACACCGATAGTCTAGTCTTTACTGTGTGTGTGTGTGTGTGTGAGAGAGAGAGTGTGTGTCACTGTGTGTGTGTGTGTGTCACTGTGTGTGTGTGTGTTTCTAACACTGATAGTCTAGTCTTTACTGTGTGTGTGTGCGTGTGTGTGTGTGTGTGTGTGTGGTGTGTGTGTGTGTGTGTGAGAGAGAGAGTGTGTGTCACTGTGTGTTTCTCACACCGATAGTCTAGTCTTTACTGTGTGTGTGTGTGTGTGTGTGTGTGGTGCGTGCGTGCGTGTGGGTGTGTGTGTTTCTCACACCAATAGTCTAGTCTTTACTGTGTGTGTGTGTGTGTGTGTGTGTGTGTGCGTGCGTGCGTGTGGGTGTGTGTGTTTCTCACACCAATAGTCTAGTCCTTTACTGTGTGTGTGTGTGTGTGTGTGTGTGTGTGTTTCTCACACCGATAGTCTAGTCTTTACTGTGTGTGTGTGTGTGTGTGAGAGTGTGTGTGTGTGTGTGTGTGTGTGTTTCTCACACCGATAGTCTAGTCTTTACTAAGTGTGTGTTAAAGAGGTTCATTCATGTAAACAAATGCTAATGAAGCGTTCTGGGCCGTTTGCTGTTGAGGATGACACACACACACACACACACACACACACACACACACACACACTGCAGGATAGAGGATCCTTTACTCACTTTTTATGTGTATCGGTCAATTTATAATCACATTTGTCACGTTTCAATGTCAGACACACAATGTCCTTTAAATGCGGAGCGAGTCGGGATGCCTTTGATATTTTAGGCCCTTCTTGTGTTTTACTTTCTTACGTTGGGGTTTCTCAATCGTTTTCCATCTGGAAATCAAATACCAAGAAATTAATTATAGTTTGCATCAAGATGTTGCATTGTGACATCATAGGCGTCAGAAGCACACAAAAAAAATGTGTGTGTCATCCTCCAGAATTGTTTTACTGGAGTAGATTAGGAGAGTTCCCGAAGCCAAATACATGATCTCTAATCTCTACGCACTAATGAGTGAAGATGAAACGAGTTCATCTCTCAGAAACCACAGCTTGGCTCGTGTAATATCAGCTCATATAGGCTACCACTACATCATATACATGTGCTATGATATGATATCGTATATTAGTGTATGTATATGTCTCTGTCTCAGCAACCAAACCAGCTCTAATAGCCAATAATCAACTAAGATTCATATTAATTAATTAATGTAGGACACTATAGTTCATTTATGTAAGTGAGGAGAGCTAAATAAATTAAAATGTGACATATTACACCCAAAAAATTATTCCTCCACTTTGAGCTGATCGTGTTTTGCTGAAGTGTGTTTTCTGTAATTGCTAATGCACATTTTTACGAAGCATTGCTTCTAGCGCTGTAACGATTCCCTCACGTCATGATTCGACACATATCACGATACGATATTATTGCGATACTCCCAAGACATGATAAAAGGTTTACAAAAAAGTACTGTTGGTTAAAATGCTAACTTTGATATTGTGTGTGTAAATGAATATCTTGGACTTGGTGCTGAAACCCAAAGCACAGGCAATAGAGACACCAGAATAACAATATTCATGATTCTGAAGCTGAAAATACTGAATTATTATTTTAAACGAATGCTTGATATCTGTCACTGACTAGATATATTTAAAATAAATGCACTTTTTACTGGTAACAGACATTTGGCATCATCATTCCCCCATTGCATTATTATACATTATATTCAACATTATATATAGTAGTTTAATGTAGTACTGACACTAAAACTCTGAAAACTTTTTTCTCACACAGTAATTTTTTATTTTGGGGGAACTATTCACGATATTGTCACTATCCACGATACGTATTGTTGCATTTTTGTATTGCGATATATTGTTACACCCGTAATTGCTTCACTGTAAAAAATGTCTAACCTCCCAACCCAAAGCTTTTCTAGTGACTGTTCACATCTACATTTTTCAATTGGCCCAAGTGAAATTCTGCAAATGGATAAAATTAGATCTTGACCAGTCACTAGAAAATTTTGAGTTGGGAGGTTAGACATTTTCTACAGTATTGGTCACTGGTTGAGCTAAACTGGTATTATCTAATTGTGTAGTTACATTTAACAGCTGACAGATATTCAACATAATTCATGTGTGAGAGTAGCCTGGTTAAAACCAGAGCATTGTCAGTTGTAACTGAGTTATGGTCTGGCAAAGCGTCATAGACAAATCATTTCCAGAGGGGCGTCACCAACGGACGTCGCGGATAGACCTAAACCCAATCAGAGCGATGAAGGAGATGACGTATGCAGAGCGGCGGAGACACATCTCCGAGTGTTGTTCTTTCTCGGTTTTTAACTAAAAGGAAACGTTCAAATGGCTTAAAACAGACGCGATAGCTGATTGGAACGAGTGATGTTCGACGGCGGCGTCCATCTTTGTAATGTAGGCTACAAAATCTGCTTCAAAATCCCAGCGCTGTCGTCATCGTGTAAAGCCCGCCCCAACGCTTCTGATTGGTGCCTCGATTTCGGCGGATTGGAAATGGGCTTGAATGAGCTCTTCGCCAGACTAACTTTCAGAGCAAATCTAAATTTGCCGGAAGTTGTCTGGGTTTTCCCAGGCTAGTGTGAGAGTCTAACAGAAGGACGGACAAAACCAGTCAAATATCCACTGAGTTCTGCTCATATTTGATCACCACTATAGTGAATAAACTGTGATGATGTGAGGAATGTTGGGAATTGTGGTTTGTGATGTTTGTGTCTCGATCTGTGTGTTTTGTTTGCAGTGGACGCTGGTGTGTGACGGAGAGTGGAAGGTTCACATCGCCAAGTTCTCTCTGTTGGTCGGGTCCATCTTCGGGTACTTGCTGATGGGAGCGATGGCAGACTGGTGCGTTACCCAGCATGCAGCATCTATGATGGTTACGGTCGTATACACACTATAGGCTGGCTATCCATTCAGATGTTTCAATTCGATTTCCATTTGCAAGCTCTCGATTCGACTGAATATAGATTTAATACAAATCCTATATTTATAAAAAAGAACAGTGAACATACAGGTGAAACTCGAAAAATTAGAATATTGTGCAAAAGTTCATTTATTTCAGTAATTCAACTTAAAAGGTGAAACTAATATATTATATAGACTCATTACATGCAAAGTGAGATATTTCAAGCCTTTATTTGTTATAATTGTGATGATTATGGCTTACAGATATGAAAACCTTTTCACAATATTCTAATTTTGACTTTGGGGTTTTCAATTCGAGTTTCACCTGTAAGTTTACAAGTGGTTAATTAATAAAAAGAAAGGTACATTTTAGGTACATTTAAACAGAAGCCAACTCTATATTTCAAATGCATACAATGAATAGACAGGATTTTGATGCAAGATGAAAAATTAATGTTGAAAATTGGACGAGTCAGACAGTCGCATGCCTTGATCAAACACGATCAGGTTACATTATGTTTAAGATAAAACACACATAAACTCTCAGAGCATTAGATGTAACATGCAAGCCTATGAACAGTGGAGGAAAACTAATACTGGCTTTTGGGTGATCGATAAATAAATATGGGGAAAAAGTCGATGAGAATCGATTTTTTTGCCCAGCCCTAATATATACTGTACCCAGGGCTTGACATTCACTTTTTTGCTCTCCAGCCACTGTGGCGAGTGGTTTTCCAAAGTTACGAGCCACTCCGCATCTTCACTGGCCACAATTTATACACCGATACCATAGGGGAATAATACCATATAGATATTTTTAATAGCATCTCATAATTTGGCAGCCGGTATATTAGGCTACTGTCACTTTAAGACCTGACGCACGGACCCATTATACTGTGTTATATAGCCAATATACTGCTGCACTTTGGGTGTGAGTAAAATTGTGCTCAATACACACAATCCCTCGCCAGATTCAAGCCCTGTAACGCCAACAATATTCATCCGGAGCAAATGAAACGAGTGAGTAAAGGGCTGGTGTGTGTCACTCGCTGTCGGAGAGATTAGAGAGCGAGAGCTGGTGTCTTTTGCGTCTATTCTGCGGAAGAGTTTCAGATTCAGTATCAATGTGTATCGAAAAGTCTGCCAACACTAGATTGCACTTAGTTTATTATTTCAGATGCCTTTTTAAAAGACTACAATTGAAAAATGTATATAAAATTCCCATTACACGCCAACGCTGAAATCCACACGCATTTGGCGGGTTGGCGGGTGTTAATGTCTAGCCCTGACTGTATATATTCATAACTCTGACTGTAAACCCTGTCAGGTTGGGCCGTATCCCAGTTCTGCTGGTGTCGGTGCTGTCGGTGCTGGTGTTCGGGTTAGCCGTGGCGTTCTCCGTGGATATGGCCATGTTCAGCACGCTGCGCTTCTTCGAAGGATTCTGTCTGGCGGCCATCAGACTGACCCTTTATGTCCTGAGTGAGTGTGATTCCCTTCGCTTTCTTTTGCTTGAGGTTTCTACATCTATATATATATATATATATATACACTCACCGGCCACTTTATTAGGTACACCTGTCCAACTGCTCGTTAACACTTAATTTCTAAGCAGCCAATCACATGGCGGCAACTCAGTGCATTTAGGCATGTAGACATGGTCAAGACAATCTCCTGCAGTTCAAACCGAGCATCAGTATGGGGAAGAAAGGTGATTTGAGTGACTTTGAACGTGGCATGATTGTTGGTGCCAGAAGGGCTGGTCTGAGTATTTCAGAAACTGCTAATCTACTGGGATTTTCACGCACAACCATCTCTAGGGTTTACAGAGAATGGTCCGAAAAAGAAAAAACATCCAGTGAGCGGCAGTTCTGTGGGCGGAAATGCCTTGTTGATGCCAGAGGTCAGAGGAGAATGGCCAGACTGGTTCGAGCTGATAGAAGGGCAACAGTGACTGAAATAACCACTCGTTACAACCGAGGTATGCAGCAAAGCATTTGTGAAGCCACAACACGCACAACCTTGAGGCGGATGGGCTACAACAGCAGAAGACTCCACCGGGTACCACTCATCTCCACTACAAATAGGAAAAAGAGGCTACAATTTGCAAGAGCTCACCAAAATTGAACAGTTGAAGACTGGAAAAATGTTGCCTGGTCTGATGAGTCTCGATTTCTGTTGAGACATTCAGATGGTAGAGTCAGAATTTGGCGTAAACAGAATGAGAACATGGAACCATCATGCCTTGTTACCACTGTGCAGGCTGGTGGTGGTGGTGTAATGGTGTGGGGGATGTTTTCCTGGCACACTTTAGGCCCCTTAGTGCCAATTGGGCATCGTTTAAATGCCACGGCCTACCTGAGCATTGTTTCTGACCATGTCCATCCCTTTATGGCCACCATGTACCCATCCTCTGATGGCTACTTCCACCATGTCACAAAGCTCTAATCATTTCAAATTGGTTTCTTGAACATGACAATGAGTTCACTGTACTAAAATGGCCTCCACAGTCACCAGATCTCAACCCAATAGAGCATCTTTGGGATGTGGTGGAACGGGAGATTCGCATCATGGATGTGCAGCCGACAAATCTGCGGCAACTGTGTGATGCCATCATGTCAATATGGACCAAACTCCCTGAGGAATGCTTCCAGCACCTTGTTGAATCTATGCCACGAAGAATTGAGGCAGTTCTGAAGGCAAAAGGGGGTCCAACCCGTTACTAGCATGGGGTACCTAATAAAGTGGCCGGTGAGTGTATATGTACACTACCAGTCAAAAGGTTTGGATCGCGTAAGGTTTTGTATGTTTTTAAAAGAAGTCTCTTCTGCTCACCAAGGCTGCATTTATTTGATTAAAATACAAAGAAAACAGTAAAAATTGTGAAATATTTTTACTATTTAAAACAGCTGTTTTCTATGTGATTATATAATTTATTCCTGTGATCAAAGCTGAATTTTCAGCATCATTACTCCAGTCTTCAGTGTCACATGATCCTTCAGAAATCACTCTAATATGAGGATCTGATGCTCAAGAAACATTCATTATTAATGTTGAAAACAGTTGTGTAAAAAAAAAAATCAGGATTTTTTGATGAATAGAAAGGTCAAAAGAACAGCATTTATCTGAAACAGAATCTTTTGTAACATTATAAATGTCTTTACTGAAACTTTTGATCAATTAAATTGATCCTTGATGAATAAAAGTGTTAATTTATTTTATTTATTTCCCCCAAAAAATTTAATAAAAATTCTTACTGACCCCAAACTTTTGAACGGTAGCAATTAATGTTACAAAAGCTTTCTATTTCAGATAAATACTGCTCTTTTGACCTTTCTATTCATCAAAGAATCCTGAAAAGAATTGTACACAACTGTTTTCAACACTGATAATAAGCATTAATGTTTCTTGAGCATCAGATCCTCATATTAGAGTGATTTCTGAAGGATCATGTGACACTGAAGACTGGAGTAATGATGCTGAAAATTCAGCTTTGATCACAGGAATAAATTACACTTTACTATATATTCACATAGAACTGTTTTAAATTGTAATAATATTTCACAATATTTCTGGGTTTTGTTGTTGTATTTTTAATCAAATAAATGCAGCCTTAGTGAGCAGAAGAGACTTCTTTTAAAAACATAAAAAATCGTTCCGATCCCTAAGTTTCTCTGGCAGTGTGTATATATAGCCCAGATTGAGAGGACCCAGGAGTGCAGATAATTGAATGAGGTCAGAAATATACAGGGGAGCGAGACCATGAAGGGCTTTCAATGTGATGAGAAGTTCCTTGTATTGCACAAGGAAACGTAGCTAATGTAATCTGCATAAAACTGAGTAATGTGGGAGGATTTCTTGGTATGTGTGAGGACCCGACTGCGAGTCCTGGATATATTGGAGCTTATTAAAGGGATAGTTCACCCAAACATGTAAACTCTGTCAGTAATGACTCTCCCTCGTGTTGTTCAACCCCGTCAGACTTTCCTTCATCTTCGGGACACAAATGAAGATATTTGTGATTAAATCTGAGAGCTGTCTCACTCCTCCATAGGCTTCTATTGTAATTGAAACTTGCCGGAACAGAAAGTTATTAAAGACATCGTTAAAATAGTCCGAGTGACGACAGCGGCTCAACCTTAAGTTTATCAAGCGGCGAGAATACTTTCTGTGCGCAAAAAAACACACAAAAACAACGACTTTATTCAACTCTTCATCTTCTTCTCTGTGGGCCTCGAGTGAGTTCTCGTAGTGTAACAGCGCAGCGCTTCTGGTGTACGTCACACGCAGGCTCACTATTGGCCGACGCTGGTCATATGTGTGTGTGATGCGTGTGACGCACAACCCAGAAACGCTGCGCTGTTACACTACATCAACACAGCACACAGAACATGTCGGATGCTGGAAAATAACAATGTCTTTTCTGTTCACCAAATGCTTTTTAATATTCGCTATTACTTCAATGCAAGTGAACAAGCGCGCCGTTATTTGTTGCGTAGTGACGTGTGTGTGTGTTCAAGTAAGCCAGAAATGCGCAGATTCTGCGATACGCTGTATTTAATACATCATAAGGATCACGAGTTGCGTATTTGCGCTAAATCCGCGCAGATTTGTCTTACACGAACTTCCCCAGCAAAGTGAGTAAACACAGAAACGCCAGATTGGCTCGTGATTCCACAGCGTTTCCCGCCAAAGTTCATTTGTACGCGCATCTGGCGGGTCGAGGTGTTAATCTCAATCCCTGAATGTTGCGCTCCTGTTTGTCATTGTGCTGAAACTTCACGCCAGTAAATCATCAGGAATATCGCTGACTTGTGCGTCTCAAGCGCCTCTTTACGCTCGGCCTAACGCCTGTTAGGTGGCCGTGGATTTGCCTGTATTTGGTGTTGAAAATGGAAACGTCTTTAGACATGGAAAATCGATTCAATGTACACTTATGTCTCAAAAATCGAAGAGTAAAGGTCCAAGAACAGAGCCCTGTGGCACACCGTGTGAGACCGGGGCCGAAGTGGACTTAGAAATGTAAAGCTGATGGTCAGACAAGTAGGAAATGAACCAGAACAGGAGTTCCAGAAATACCAAGAGCAAGAGAGTCGAGAGATGAGAATACTGTGAGAAATGGTGTCAAATGCAGCAGAGATGTCAAGGAGAATTAAAGTGCAGATGAGCCCGACTTGAAGATCATTCACAACGCAGAGAAGTGCAGAAACCTGACTGGAAGCATTCATAAAGGTTGTGTGATGACAAATAGTTCTGAAGGTGAGCAGCGAACACTTTCTCAAGCAGCTTTGAGAGGAATGAAAGATGCAAATGTGGTCTATAATTGGCCATCTCAGAATGGTCGAGGCCGGGTTTCTTTAAAACAAGTCTATTTACCTTTTATTTTTTTTGAGGAGTGTATACAGGTGAAACTCGAAAAATTTGAATATCGTGCAAAAGTTCATTTATTTCAGTAATTCAACTTAAAAGGTGAAACTAATATATTATATAGACTCATTACATGCAAAGTGAGATATTTCAAGCCTTTATTTGTAATATTTGTGATGATTATGGATTACAGCTTATGAAAACCTTTTCACAATATTCTAATTTTGAATTTGGGCTTAATATAAGCTGTAAGCCATAATCATCACAAATGATTTGCTTACAGTTTCGCCTGTAAGATTGATTGTGACTGTCTAAATTGAGTAGAGATTAATAGAGTGACGAAATGCCATTGCCGCCTCCTTACTTAAATCATGGCTTTGTTTTTGTTTTTTTCTCTTATACTGATAAAAATATATTTTTCTTCATACTGATCGTTGTTTGTGTTTGGTTTTGTTTTTCCCTTCTTGTCTTGTTTTCCATGGAGTTGTGTTACTGTGTTAACCCGTGATGTACCAAATTACCAAACAGTTTCTTGCCATTTCATTAATATTTATATTATTGTTAGTTTTTTTTGTGTTTTTTTTTCTTTTTCTTTTTTTCTCATTTTATAATTGTATTGTGTGATTTATTTTTTAGATAAATGTACTTCAAATGATTACGTTTTTTTTTTTCAATAAGTATAAATTATGATATTTTGTAAAGAGAAAACAGTAGCCGTTTCAAAGCTAGATGTGTAAAAGGATTGATTGTGCTGACTGTCTAAAATAAATTTGCAAATGAATTGATTGGTTTCCTACAAGTTTAATTCGATTCTCCTTTCTTTCAAGCTTATTGGCTTGCAGGATCAGCAGAGCCAATCAGATTGTGTCATGTGGTAATGATGTGATTGCTTGCAGATTGCATGTAAAGGACCGTTAGCCGTTTCATGAATATATAAAAACATATATTTTTTAGTATATTTATATTTTTTAATGAAAAAAATTAAATTAAATTATACATTTAATTATACATTAAGAAAAATAAAGAACTAAAATATCTGACATGTATAAAACCTTAAAGTAGTCTTTATTTTCTTTATGCAAAATATAATTTCATGCATATTATTTTGATTCGGGGGTGAAAGCGTCGCTGTAAGCCCAGTTCTCCTTTAAGCACACGGTTTAATTCTCTGTGTGCTTTAGAAAGCGGTTTTCTGATGAGCAGACATTAAGTGATGCTGATTAAGTAGCTTTTACAGAGGCCGGGGGAAGGTGTGTGTGTGTGTGTGTGTGTGTGTGTGTGTGTGTGTGTGTGTGTGTGTGTGTGTGTGTGTGTGTGTGTGTGTGTGTGTGTGTGTGTGTGTGTGTGTGTGTGTGTGTGTGTGTGTGTGTGTGTGTGTGTGTGTGTGTGTGTGTGTGTGTGTGTTTGTTCAATCGCCAGTTCATTAATTTACTTTAATGGAGCCACTTTCTGCTTCGCTCAGACTCCGATGACATTTGAAGTCTGATGCTTTACAGCGCACAATTTTCTCAAAAGCTTTTTGTTTATAATGGATATCATAATGATTTACAAAGGGAGCCATAACGTTAATTCGATTTTCACCTTCATAAAATATATTTTATGGTGTTTGGCCTCAAATCAGGTGAAAAAATTAAATGCATCTTCAGAATAACCAGCATATCTTCTTTGTTTAATATCCACTCTTGACGACACATTGATCTGTTGAGTGTTTATTTGGACAACTTGAAGAGCAAAATTAATGAGTTACTCACACATAGACACACACATGTTGGAGTATAATGTTACACTGTGGTCTCTTCTCGACACTTACAAAGGCTGCATTTAATTTGATCAGAAATACAGTAAAAATTACAGTAAGAAAACGGTTGTGGGGCACCGTTGACTTCCATAGTATGAAAAAAAAAATCCGGTGTCCATCAACTGTTTGGTTACAATTTTTTTAAATTAAATATCCTCCTTTGTGTTCAATAAACGAAAGACATTTATACAGGTTTGGAACAACTTGAGGGTGAGTAAATGATGACAGAATTGTCATTTTTGGGTGAACTGTCTCTTTAAGTACATCTTTATATGTCATTTTTCGTAATTTATTGTCTTTGATGAATGTACCGAGAAGTATTTATAGTAATCAAAAATATACTTTAAATGTCATTTCTATTGAATTATACATTTAAATATATTTGTGTTTTTACACATTTGTAATGATAAAGATACAATTTACTACATAATTTTTTTAATATATAAATATATCAAATCTAATATAGAATGGATCTCCTGGGTTTTTTTTTTTTAAGTCGGCGTGAAACAAAAGTTGTGCTGGTCTTTTCTCCTCTATTGTGACGAATATCCGAGAGAAACGGCATCTGTAACAAAAACAAATGTGGGCGGGGCTTGATTTTGTTCTTGAGGAATTGATTGGATGGTTGTGTTTTGCTATAGAGAGCCTAAGCCCCTCCCCTTCCGGTCGACCACCATGGGCCCTTATTTCGGAAAAATATTGTATGGTAGTCAATGGCGAGAGACAACAAATATTTTGATCTTGTTCGAATTGTGCCCTGAATTACACACATGATGTTTGTCAATTTAAATGATACATTTTAAAGTCAAGAAAGTCGCAGTTTGATGTAAAACTGTTGAGGTATAAGACTGTGAAAATACGTAATTACAAAGACTACAAACCCCAAAGGCGCACATTTTCTCTCAATGAATGAAGCTAACTTTACTGAAGCTAACTTTACTGAAGCTAACTTTACTGAAGCTAGTTTTACTGAAGCTAACTTTACTGAAGCTAACTTTACTGAAGCTAGTTTTACTGAAGCTAGTTTTACTGAAGCTAACTTTACTGAAGCAACCTTTACTGAAGCTAACTTTACTGAAGCTAACTTTACTGAAGCTAACTTTACTGAAGCAACCTTTACTGAAGCTAACTTTACTGAAGCTAACTTTACTGAAGCAACCTTTACTGAAGCTAACTTTACTGAAGCTAACTTTACTGAAGCTACCTTTACTGAAGCTAACTTTACTGAAGCTAACTTTACTGAAGCTAACTTTACTGAAGCTACCATTACTGAAGCTAACTTTACTGAAGCTACCATTACTGAAGCTAACTTTACTGAAGCTACCTTTACTGAAGCTAACTTTACTGAAGCTACCATTACTGAAGCTAACTTTACTGAAGCAAACTTTACTGAAGCTACCTTTACTGAAGCAAACTTTACTGAAGCTAACTTTACTGAAGCTAACTTTACTGAAGCAAACTTTACTGAAGCAACCTTTACTGAAGCTAACTTTACTGAAGCTAACTTTACTGAAGCTACCTTTACTGAAGCTAACTTTACTGAAGCTAACTTTACTGAAGCTACCATTACTGAAGCTAACTTTACTGAAGCAAACTTTACTGAAGCTACCTTTACTGAAGCAAACTTTACTGAAGCTAACTTTACTGAAGCTACCATTACTGAAGCTAACTTTACTGAAGCTAACTTTACTGAACTGAAACTGTTAGGGGGTAACAGTTATAAGACCCAGGACCAGATATGATGACCCTTGCCTCTTCAAAGCTAACTTTACTGAAGCTAACTTTACTGAAGCTAACTGTACTGAAGCTAACTTTACTGAAGCTAACCTTACTGACGCTAACTTTACTGAAGCTAACTTTACTGAAACTAACCTTATTGACGTTAACTTTACTGAAGCCAACTTTACTGAAGCTAACTTTACTGAAGCTAACTTTACTGAAGCTAACTTTACTGAAGCTAACTTTGCTGAAGCTAACTGTACTGACGCTAACTTTGCTGAAGCTAACTTTACTGACGCTAACTTTACTGAAGCTAACTTTACTGACGCTAACTTTGCTGAAGCTAACTTTACTGAAGCTAACTTTACTGATGCTAACTTTACTGAAGCTAACTTTACTGAAGCTAACTTTACTGAAGCTAACGTCTGTCATTGTTTCTATAGTCTTGCGTTATAATCGTAACGTTACGCCGTCATCGAGTGTTTTGTACCAGACTGCACACACATGAGCAGCGGATCTCGCTCGTTGTTTCGCTTCCCGGGAGATGTAGTTCATTGAGCGATTTTCACATAAAACTAAATGTTACTCTTCTGTTTTATGACAAACTGCGACTTTTTGACTTTCAGAATTATCTTTTAAATTGACAAACATCATATGTGTAATTCAGGGCACAGTTCAGACGGAATAAAAAGATAAGTTGTCTCTCGCCATTGACTACCATACATATTTTTTCCGAAATGAGCCGGAAGCGGAGGGGAGGGGCTTAGGCTCTCTATTGGCTGATCTCATGTGAGTGACAGGTTGCCCCGCCCTCGCAGGGAGGGGAAGTTATTCTGATTCAAGATTACGAGGAACATGAAGTTAACAAAAATAATCATGTGCACGATATTCCATAAAGAACAAGAATTGTCCATTTATGAGTTCATGACTTGAAGTGTGGTGTTTTGATCCTGTGGTGATCTCTCCGTCTCCCAGGGATTGAGTTGTGTTTGCCCAAATGGCGTTTCTCCATGACCATGATCGCCAGTCTGATCATCGTGGGCGGGCAGATGCTGATGCCCGGTTTGGCGGCGCTGTGCCGTGATTGGCAGATTCTTCAGATTGTAATCATCGCTCCATTTGTGCTCATGCTGCCGTACGTCTGGTAAGACTCTCATAAAGCACAGACACACTAGTTCGGTTCTCCTACCAGTGCATGCAACACAAAAAACTAAGGTATTATTTAAAGGGATACTCCACTTTTTTTGGAAATAGGCTCATTTTACAACTCCCCCAGAGTTAAACTGTTGAGTTTTACCGTTTTTGAATCCATTCAGCCGATCTCCGGTTCTGGCGGTACCACTTTTAGCATAGCTTAGCATACATCATTGAAGTGGACAAGATCATTAGCATTTCTAAAAAAGAAATGACCAAAGAGTTTCGATATTTTTCCTATTTAAAACTTGACTCTTCTGTAGTTACATCGTGCACTAAGACCGACGGAAAATGTAAAGTTGTAAAAATGTAAAAAATGCAGCGCCTGAAAATAGTTCCGTTGTGTTGATCTTTTTTTTTTTAGAAATGCTAATGATCTTGTCCACTTCAATGATGTATGCTAAGCTATGCTAAAAGTGGTACCGCCAGAACCGGAGATCGGCTGAATGGATTCAAAAACGGTAAAACTCAACAGTTTAACTCTGGGGGAGTTGTAAAATGAGCCTATTTCCAAAAAAAGTGGAGTATCCCTTTAATAAAAAATAAACTTTTATTTTCCGACTGCAATGCGTGGAAATAAAATCCAGTTTATGAGGAAGAACGTTCTCAGAACATTAAGGTTCTCTCAAAGTTAAGAGCAAACGTTATTAATAAAACACTTGTTTAAAGTTATCTGGTCTTTATTAATGTGTGCTTTAAAAATATCATTGTCAAAAATATCATTATCATATACAAAATATGCTATTGTTGATCTCTTGTACTTCATGAAATTGCACTGTCGATTGATGTTCGAATGTAATTTCGTTGTATCACTGCAATGACAATTTTATTATTATTATTATTATTATTATCATTCATGGAATGTTTTTGCCTGAGCGTTTAGTTTGATGTACGGTAGTGTTTTTAAATGTTGCTACTTGTTTCGGAATGTTCATTCAAACATTTAAAAGTAACATTCCGAATTTGTTTGAAGAATGATGAAATGGAATGTTTCCTTTACATTTAAAAAACCGGCGGTTTAAACGTTCCGAGAACATTCAGAAGGAACGGTTTTATAACGTTGGCAAAAGGTTGTTAGAACACAGGGGACAGCGATCCGTGTGAATCCACTTCGGGTTCAGAGAATTCATTTTTTCCCACATTAATTTCACACACGTCTAGTACAATTATATGGTTTTTATTTCAAGTATAGAATAGAATATCATAGTTCTAATAATTGTAACACTGTGTGACAACATGCCCCGCCTGCACAACTGGGGGTTTAAACCATGTGAGTGTGTTCTGCTGTTACATCAGCATTAAAGAACTCTCTCAACTGTTAAATAACAGATATAAGATTAAAAACAACATCAGATTTGTCTAATAAAAATTAAAAAAAATAAAAATTAACATAAGAAATTACTTTTGCTATGGTTAAATAAATTTGTAAAGATTTGTTAATTTTGGCAATTTTTTTCTCTATATAGTGTTGATATGGAAACTAATAAATACACTGAGTTTCATCATGCCGGCATGAGTGGACAGTTTTAAAGCGTGTGTGTTAGTCTTATTCTCACCGCTATATTTGTTAGCTGGGTAATAACTAGGTTTGGTGAATTTCACCATTACATTTTTTAATCGCAAGTAAAGTTGATATCTAGATGCAGAACTGTATTCCACTTTGTTTTGTGCATGTATTTTCAGACCACAATTTCTCTACATACTTTAGTAGTGTTTTGTTTTCTGTAAGTGTTTGCATTAATTGCTGTGCCATATCTTTTTTATATATATTTTTTTTATGCTAGTCTATAATCTATTTCAAATGTAACCATCCTGAAACAACACATAAAAAGAAGACGGGAACGCTTTACAATAAGTTCATTAGTTACAGTAACTATCTTAGTTAACATGAGCTAAGAATGAACAATACTTCTACAGCATTTATTAATAATAGTTAATACTAATTTACATACAGGTGAAACTCGAAAAAGTGCAAAAGTGTAAAAGTTCATTTATTTCAGTAATTCAACTTAAAAGGTGAAACTAATATATTATATAGACTCATTACATGCAAAGTGAGATATTTCAAGCCTTTATTTGTTATAATGTTAATGATGATTATGGCTTACAGCTTATGAAAACCCCAAATTCAAAAGTAGAATATTAAATATTGAATTGAAGCTGTACGCCATAATCATCACAATTATAACAAATAAAGGCTTGAAATATCTCACTTTGCATGTAATGAGTCTATATAATATATTAGTTTCACCTTTTAAGTCGAATTACTGAAATAAATGAACTTTTGCACCTTATTCAAATTCTAGTTATTAAAATCAAAGCTTGTATTTGTTAACATACTAACATGAACAAAAGCTGTATTTTTATTAACTAACATTAATAAAGATGAATCAATACTGTAACACACGTGTTGCTCATGTTAGTAAACACATGAACTAATGAACGTGATTGTAAAGTAAGTGTTAGCGAGAAGATAAACGGTGTGATGACAGAACTAACGCTGCGCTTCTCGTGTCAGGATGTTCCCCGAATCCCTGCGCTGGTTGTTGGCCACTCAACATTACCAAAGAGCCAAGAGACAAATGTACCGAATCGCCCATAGCAACGGCGTCGACACGGCAACCGACCCCAGCGGCATCCTCTCAGGTGAGTTACCTGTTGTTGAAGTGAGATCAGTGTGCTTTACCTTGAGCTTTCATAACCATCAACAACACGACGACGATGATGATGATGATGATGATGATGATGTGATGATGATGATGATGATGATGTGATGATGATGATGATGATGATGATGATGATGATGATGATGATGATGATGATGGTGATGTGATGATGATGATGATGATGATGATGATGTGATGATGGTGATGTGATGATGATGTGATGATGATGTGATGATGATGTGATGATGATGATGATGATGATGATGGTGATGTGATGATGATGATGATGTGATGATGATGTGATGATGATGATGATGGTGATGTGATGATGATGATGATGTGATGATGATGATGATGATGATGGTGATGTGATGATGATGGTGATGTGATGATGATGATGATGATGTGATGATGATGATGATGATGATGATGATGATGATGATGATGATGATGATGATGATGGTGATGTGATGATGATGATGTGATGATGATGATGATGATGATGTGATGATGATGATGATGATGATGGTGATGTGATGATGATGATGATGTGATGATGATGATGATGATGATGATGTGATGATGGTGATGTGATGATGATGATGATGTCATGATGATGATGATGATGATGGTGATGTGATGATGATGTGATGATGATGTGATGATGATGTGATGATGATGATGATGATGATGGTGATGTGATGATGATGATGATGTGATGATGGTGATGTGATGATGATGATGATGTGATGATGATGATGATGGTGATGTGATGATGATGATGATGTGATGATGATGTGATGATGATGATGATGTGATGATGATGATGATGATGATGTGATGATGATGATGATGTGATGATGATGATGATGATGATGATGATGATGTGATGATGAAGATGATGATGATGATGATGATGGTGAAGTGATGATGATGATGATGTGATGATGATGATGATGATGATGATGATGATGATGATGTGATGATGATGATGATGATGATGTGATGATGATGATGGTGATGTGATGATGATGATGATGATGATGGTGATGTGATGATGATGATGATGTGATGATGATGATGGTGATGATGATGATGATGATGATGATGATGATGTGATGGTGATGTGATGATGATGATGATGTGATGATGATGTGATGATGATGATGATGATGATGATGATGATGGTGATGTGATGATGATGATGATGTGATGATGATGTGATGATGATGATGATGATGATGATGTCATGATGATGATGATGATGATGTGATGATGAAGATGATGATGGTGATGTGATGATGATCATGATGTGATGATGATGATGATGATGTGATGATGTGATGATGATTATGATGTGATGATGATGATGATGATGTGATGATGATGTGATGATGATGTGATGATGATGATGATGTGATGATGATGTGATGATGATGATGTGATGATGATGATGTGATGATGATGATGTGATGATGATGATGTGATGATGATGATGATGATGTGATGATGATGATGATGATGATGTGATGATGATGTGATGATGATGATGATGGTGATGTGATGATGATGATGTGATGATGATGATGTGATGATGATGTGATGATGATGTGATGATGATGATGTGTGGATGATGTGATGATGATGCGATGATGATGATGTGATGATGATGATGATGTTATGATGATGATGATGATGATGATGATGATGATGTGGTGATGTGATGATGATGATGATGATGGTGATGTGATGATGATGATGATGATGATGATGATGATGTGATGATGATGTGATGATGATGATGATGATGATGATGATGATGATGTGATGATGATGATGATGATGTGATGATGGTGATGTGATGATGATGTGATGATGATGATGTGATGATGATGATGATGATGATGTGATGATGGTGATGTGATGATGATGTGATGATGATGATGATGATGATGATGATGATGATGATGATGATGATGTGATGATGGTGATGTGATGATGATGTGATGATGATGATGATGATGATGATGTGATGATGATGATGATGATGTGATGATGGTGATGATGATGATGATGTGATGATGATGATGATGATGGTGATGTGATGATGATGATGATGATGTGATGATGATGATGGTGATGTGATGATGATGTGATGATGATGATGATGTGATGATGGTGATGTGATGATGATGTGATGATGATGATGATGTGAGGATGGTGATGATGATGATGGTGATGTGATGATGATGTGATGATGATGTGATGATGATGATGTGATGATGGTGATGATGATGATGATGATGATGATGTGATGATGATGATGATGATGATGATGGTGATGTGATGATGATGTGATGATGATGTGATGATGATGATGTGATGATGGTGATGATGTGATGATGATGATGATGATGTGATGATGATGATGATGATGATGATGATGTGATGATGATGATGATGATGATGATGATGGTGATGTGATGATGATGTGATGATGATGTGATGATGATGATGTGATGATGGTGATGATGATGATGATGTGATGATGATGATGATGATGATGATGATGTTGTGGTGATGTGTGTTGATGTGATGTGATGTGTGATGATGATGATGTGATGTGGTGTTGGTGTTGTGAGTTGTTGGTTGAGTGTGGTGTTGTGGTGTTGGTTGTGATGATGGTGTTGTGATGTATGATGTGATGGTGTTGGTGTTGTTGGTGGTGTGTTGTTGGATGTTGGTGTTGGGGTGTTGATGTTGTTGATGGTGGTGGTGGTGATGTGTTGTGATGTGATGATGTTGTGTTGTGATGTGTGGATGTTGTGTGTGATGTGTTGATGTTGTGTTGTTGTTGGGTGTTGTTGTTGTTGGTGATGTTGTTGTTGTGTGATGATGTGGTTGTGGTTGGTTGGTGTTGTGTTGGTGATGTGGATGATGGGTGTGATGATGATGATGATGTGATGATGGTGATGTGATGATGATGATGATGTGATGATGATGGTGATGTGATGATGATGTGATGATGATGTGATGATGATGGTGATGTGATGATGATGATGATGTGATGATGATGGTGATGTGAATGATGATGATGATGATGATGATGGTGATGTGATGATGATGATGATGTGATGATGATGATGATGATGTGATGATGATGATGTGATGATGATGATGATGATGATGATGATGATGTGATGATGATGATGTGATGATGATGATGATGGTTTTGTAGAGCTGGAGACAGAACTGCAACAGAAGCCAAAGACGTCGTGCGTAACGCAACTGACCGGCACCCGAAACCTGTGGAAGAACACCGTAGTGCTGTGTGTGAACTCGTAAGTGCCCGAGTCAAACACACCCCATTAGAGCCCTGCACGGGCCTCAAATCTAGGCCTTAGCCCGGCCCTGCCCCGAGACGCTCAGGCCCTAGCCCGGCCCGTGTCCGACAGCTCATCAGAATGATCAGCCCGAGTCCGACCCGAGCCCGTAAAAAAAAAAAGAAAAAAAAAAAGATAAACAGCCTGACCTATGTTGCAGTCAGTAAACCAGATATATTTTGTTTTCAATGGCAAAGTATTTACCGGTAGGTTTATTTTCATTTCTTTATAAAGTTAATTAAGAAAAAACAAAAAACAAAATTTATGACGACCAAGCAGAGTTAAACATGTTTGATCCATTGATTGATTTAGCCTCTCAAATCAACACTTTACTTGGCTACAATAAAATCCATAGATATAAAACTACTTGGCTACAATAAAATCCATAGATATAAAACAACTTAAGCATATCACACAGACAGTTAACGTTAGTTTAAACGTTTATTGTCATTTTTGAAAAGCTGAGGCAAACTGCTCTGCTGCTCAGTCGCAACAGCGGTCGCAAACTAAATGAATTTATAATATAGGCTACAATACAGAGAATGCAATCTAAACAAATCAAATAAATTACATTAAAAACAAACATGCAGGTTATCTTACCTCAAAAATCCATTTCCAATAGTTTCCAACAGACTCATGAAAATAAAGTCCAATCAAACAAAAAACAACCTCCTCCTAACATGGCTAAGAACAGTCTCAGAGCATCGTGAAGAAAAAGCACAGCATCCACAGTGGAAGGTTTTAATCCAGTCGTACTTTTTCCAGCTGCGCTGAAGTCACGCTCGCTACCATAGCGGGACACTAGAACGAGCCGGTCGCGCGAATCTCAGATCGCGCTGCCGGGAAACCTGTGTGTGTGTGTGTGTGCGTGAGCGTGAGCATGAGCAGACTGTCATGTGTCAGTCTTATGTCAGTGTGATAGGTTATAAAACGTCTTTCTATGTTTGCTTTTCAATCGTCATCTTCTCATGTTTTATTTTAATTAATGTCTAAAATAGGCTATAAAAAAGATAAGCCTAAAACAGGCCCGAGGCCCGGCCCGCGTGTGAACTATGACGTGAAAATTGGCCCGAAGCCCGGCCCTAGGAGCATAAATAAGTCGGGGCCCGTCGGGCTCGGGCTGAAATGCAGGCCTCTACACCCCATAATCGAGCGATCACACACACACTCGACAGAAGCTCATGCTAGTCACCCGTGGAAGGCACGCAGATTTATAATCATAAACGTATTCATCTGTGTTCTGTCATCTAGATCAGGGGTTTTCAACAGCTTATGAAAACCTTTTCACAATATTCTAATTTTGACTTTGGGGTTTTCATATCTGTAAGCCATAATCATCACAATTATAACAAATAAAGGCTTGAAATATCTCACTTTGCATGTAATGAGTCTATATAATATATTAGTTTCACCTTTTAAGTTGAATTACTGAAATAAATGAACTTTTGCACCATATTCTAATTTTTCGAGTTTCACCTGTATAATTGTTTTACACTCCTCTTCCACGTCTCTAAGCTGTTCCCCGGACTCCCCCTGAACGCCCGATCTGGATGATGCGGTTCTGCATTGCTGAACTAAAAGCGCTGGCGATCTGCTAATCATCGCTCGTCCGTTCTCAACACATAATCAATGGTTCTTTCTTCCTCAGGTTGACGGGCTACGGCATCCATCACTGTTTCGCTCGCAGCGTTCTGGAGGAAAGCGAGTCTCATCTGCACTATTACGCAGTGGCGGCGATCGCGTTCGCCTCGAGTGTGTTGGTGTTTCCGGTGGTGGGAGGATTCGGCAGGAGAGGAGGACTACTAACATTCATGATCATCACAGCGTTAGCATCACTGCTACAGCTCGGCCTGCTCAACCGTACGTACACACACACACACACACACACTCACACACTACTAACATTCATGATCATCACAGCGTTAGCATCACTGCTACAGCTCGGCCTGCTCAACCGTACGTACACACACACACACACACACACTACTAACATTCATGATCATCACAGCGTTAGCATCACTGCTACAGCTCGGCCTGCTCAACCGTACGTACACACACACACACACACACACACACACACACACACACACACAGCCGTGTTTTTGTGATATATGAGGACATTCCATAGGCGTAATGACTTTTATACTGGACAAACTGTATATTCTATCCCCCTACACTGCCCCTATCCCTAAACCTGCCCATCACACACACACACACACACACACACACACACACACACACTGCCCCTATCCCTAAACCTGCCTATCACAGGAGACATGCTGCATTTTTACATTAAAAAAACACATTGTTTTTTATGTTTTTTAAGCTATTTGAAATATGAGGACTCATGTCCTCATATATCACGTGTAAGTTGTAATACCAGTGTAATATGCATGTCATTATACACATTTGTGTCCTCATATATCACAAAAACAAAAGCACACACACACACACACACACACTACTAACATTCATGATCATCACAGCGTTAGCATCACTGCTACAGCTCGGCCTGCTCAACCGTACGTACACACACACACACACACACACACACACACTACTAACATTCATGATCATCACAGCATTAGCATCACTGCTACAGCTCGGCCTGCTCAACCGTACATACACACACACACACACACACACACACACACACACACACACACACACACACACACACACACACACACACACACAGAGACTGCTTGTGTTTTGTCCTCTCACTGTGTCTTCTTCCTCCTAATACAGTGATCGGGAAGTACAGTCTTCGGCACGATGCAGGTAAAACTAATCAAAAAGTATTATGAACTGTTTTATAAAGCAGTGGTTCTCAACTGTGTGGGTTTTATTATCAAAATGTTTAATATTTTTCATCTCACTTGGTATAAGCCAGCATGAACAGGTTGCGTGACACATTCAATGAATACACAACCTGCAAGTTTATCCAATTCAAGAGACAACCAATTTATACATTTCAGTATTTCATTTAAGACATTTTTTGTTTACATTTGCTAAATGACTCTCATCCCTCCCTCACACTTCGTAACACATCTTTCCCTCGCGGGTCAAAATGACCTGAAGCCCTAAAATTATACGTAACTTTTTTTTTTTTGTCCACAAAGCTTATTTTATTTTGACAATATTTTTTCTGTTTTTTAATGCAATTATTATATTTAAATGACTAGATTTGATCAATAAATAATAAATAAATAGTAATATAAGCACATTCCTCGCATTCTTTCCACTTAAATTCAAAATAACTCACAATTTCATGCAAATTTAATTCAGCTCAAAATATCTTACGTTGAGTGTCTTTGACCTCTTGTGGAAAATACATAATATATCATGATATTTCATGACTCTAGATGGGCTTATAGCTCTATATGGAGCAGAAGTGCTGTTCTTCTGGAAGTCAGTTTCTCTTCAGTGTGCATTCAGATACACATGTAGACATTATAAAATAATTTTTTGGTAAAGTTATAGTATTTTTAGTTTGAATTTTGAGCAATTTCTAGTTTTTTTTATGTGAACTGAAGCACTCCTCGCATCCATTCACTCCTAAGGGGGTTAAATTGACCCGTGAGGGAAGGATGTGTTACTTTTTTTAATTTATACCACAAAACTCCTCGAATCCATTCAATTTTTGTTTGTGTATTCGTGATTCAAGTGCGTCAATCCTTGAACCCCTCCGATGAACACTCAATTTTTAAAATAAAAAATGAGTTTCGGGTCAAAATGACCCGGGGGAACGATGAGTGTGTGTCTGATGTTCGGTCTTGGGAAAAAACCCAGTTGAGAACCACTGTTATAAAGTATCTTAAGTGTATATATAATTATGGAAGCCTGTTTTCACTTTAGTAAGTAAATAAATAAATATAAAAGGTAATTGCGACTTTAAAAATAAAGTGACGTTGTGGAAAGGAAGAAATACTCAATTTCAAACGTATTTTACCCTCTTTTGCTCTCTGGTCAGTTTTGACCCCAAAAATTTTACATTTTGAGGTTTTTTTTATTTATCGGAATGATTTGCACAAAAAAAATAAATCATGGACATGATTTGAAAATGTTAAATGGTCCTGAAAAACAAAAAGTCGCCCTTGTGCTCCACGCGGTGAAGACGAACGGGGAACGGATATCTCTAGTGGAAGCGTTCGGTACTGCGCCCAAACACAATCTGACGGAAAGCTCATTTTTTGAGATATCAACCTCAACTTTGGAACTCAACATGTTTAGATTAATGGCCTTGATTTTTTTTCACCGTTTTAGCGTAAACAAGTTTCGGAAAATATATACATTTCATATAAAAAATTAAGAAAATTGTGTTTTTTTGTGCATTTTTCATGACTTTTTTTTTTTAAGTAAAAACTTTTTACTTTAGCAATAATCTGCCAAGTGTCTTTAACTCTTTCCTCACCATTGACGGCCTTCTCCAGCTGTCCGTGTTGTCACTGTTATATGGTAGGGGGCGCTATTACGCATATTCAGAATGAGTGCAGAATCTCCGGATCAAAACACAGATGCAAACAAGAAACAGACGCACGATGTTGCTTTTTTATGAAACTTGCCCACATTCAAGTTTTGATTTAAAAAAAAATGCATGAAGCTAAAATAAAGCTTTTTTGGGGGTTGTTGTTTAAAAGCAGATGCTCTGTTCTTTCTTTTGATATATTGCATGTTCAGATATTCATTTATTATTCAAAATATTCTGGGGGCCATTCAATTTTTGTTAAAAGACACCAATATTTAAAGCATGCAAGTTTTCCCACAGTTTAAGTCATTTTCAGGTCATTTTTGTATAAATAGATTATTACTATTGCATAAATATAATTTAGTACCATTAAATCGAACTAAAATATAGTACATTAATTTCATAGAAATAAAAAACGTGGTCATTTTTGTCTGACACGTGAACAACAGCACCAGAGGGTTAAACTTAATCGCATAATTTTCTTTTTTATTTATGCTTTTACTCTTTAAACTAGCAGAAATGGGCTTCCATATATTGTATATGTTTATATATACAGGTGAAATTTGAAAAATTAGAATATGGTGCAAAATTTCAGTAATTCAACTTAAAAGGTGAAACTAATATATTTTATAGACTCATTACATGCAAAGTGAGATATTTCAAGCCTTTTATTTGTTATAATTGTGATGATTATGGCTTACAGATATGAAAAGCTTTTCACAATATTCTAATTTTGACTTTGGGGTTTTCATAAGCTGTAAGCCATAATCATCACAATTATAACAAATAAAGGCTTGAAATATCTCACTTTGCATGTAATAAGTCTATATAATATATTAGTTTCACCTTTTAAGTTGAATTTATGAACTTTTGCACCATATTATAATTTTTCGAGTTTCACCAGTTCATATTTTTCTTGTTAAAAATATCAGTCATGATTTGTTTTTTTATAAAAACACGAGCATGTATGTCTGTGTACAGTAAATCACAACATGTTGGCATAAATTGTTACATTGATTTGAATGCATCTATTTATAAGATATATGTAAATATTTTTGTGCGTGTTATTAATTTCACAACATGCTCAATGTCAGTAATGTTGCTAAAGGGGTCATTAGACAGAAAAAGGATCTTCTTGTCTGAACTGTTCTCTTGTCTGTCTAGTTCTGCGAGACACCCTGAATCGGCGCTTCTCGTACGCGTTCTCCATCATCGGGATGTTCTCGTCTCACGCTGTCAGCACGCTCAGCATCTTTTACTGCGCAGAGATCACACCGACTGTCATCAGGTCAGCACAGATCAGCCTGTCTGTCAGATCACTCGTAAAGGGTCATCAGTTCACTTTTATATGGTGTTTGCATTTACACAACCACCCTACAAAGAAAAAAATCCATTCACTCCTTTTTTATTTATCCTCAAAAAGCCTAAACACTCTCATTAATCAAGCCGTTTGGCTTTTCTGAGCACTATAGCCCTATTCGCACGGGATTAGTGTTATCTGGGGACCTCGTGTGATTTATACTTAAAAAATTACAGACATGGTCGATTCGCACGGGATTAAAGGGGTGGTTCAGGATTTTGGACATCGGACCTCATTTCCAAGTAAGCCTTAGTGTTATTTATCAGTGGAGACAGTTTTCAAACATGTTCATCCAGTCGTTCCAGTTGCATAGTTCGCCGGTGCTAGGCTAGCGCGAGTCAACGGTAACTGCTAGCCTGCCATTAAAAATAGTTTTACCCACTCCACAGTTCACCAAACGCAAATACATTATAACGCCAGACTATCCATGTAAATGTCTGTTGAGAGAATAATGTTAGAAATCAAACTACTCTATTCATTGTGTATAGTTCACCCAAAATTAAAATGTCTGTGCAACTTGACAAAAAATCAAGTTTACAGAGTTTTAGTGTCAGTACTACATTAAACTACTATATATAATGTTGAATATAATGTCTAATAATGCAATGGGGGGATATTTGTGGGTCCTGATGATGCCAAATGTCTGTTACCAGTAAAAAATGCATTTATTTTAAATATATCTAGTCAGTGACGGAGTGCAAGCATATTCGTCTAAAATAATTCAGTATTTTCAGCTTCAGAATCATGAATATTGTTATTCTGGTGTCTCTATTGCCTGTGCTTTGGGTTTCAGCACCAAGTCCAAGACTATTCATTTACACACACAATATCAAATTTAGCATTTTAACCAACAGTACATTTTCTGTTCACCTTTTATCATATGTCTTGGAGTATCGCAATAATATATCGTGATATGTATTGAAGCGTGACATTAGGGTCTCGTTACACCCCTAATACCTGATTGTTGGCGTGATGAATGTGTGTTTTGGTTAACAGGGGTGGAGGCGTGGGTCTGGTCCTCGCGAGCGCAGGGTTCGGCATGCTAACAGCCCCGCTCATGGAGCTCCACAATCAGAAGGGTTTCTTCCTGCATCATGTGATCCTCACCTGCTGCACGCTGCTCTGCATCATTTGCATACCGTTGCTACCGGAAACCGCTGGCCAACCACTGCCTGAGACTATCGCTGAGGGGGAGGGGCTTCTGAGGAGGCCCATCCTCCCCGGAGAACAGCACCACCTCCTGGCCAGAACCGAGGTGCGGGAATACTCACGCGTTCAGGACACGCCCCTTCACCAGGTCGTCAACCCCGGCAACGGCTCGGTGCCTAGCAACAGTACAGCCAACGGCGTGAGGACTTCATGACGGCATTTTCTAAGAACGGCCAATCGGAGACCAGCGTGAGCGATCGGTTCGATTGAGAAAGAAAGAGTTTCATTCGTTCGGTTTTTTAAAAGCCGCGTACGGAGACGGACAGATGTGCTGATAAAGTGTCAAACGCCTCATTAACCAGCAGAAAAGAAACTGAAAATGTTATTTAAAACTTGCATTCAGCGAAAGGAGTTCTATTTTTCGAACGGCCACTAATTTAACGTCACCGAACAACAACCTCATGGAGGAGTTTCACTGATTTGAATGTGCTTTTTTGTAAGTTTGGTAAATGTTTGGTATTTATTAAGGACAGAATGACGACGATAGGAAACGCCGCGCCTCATTCAGGACACGAGTGAACATTTGTTTGTGTTACAGGGCTTGAATTGCACGGATCGCGCATAATTCCTGACTCATTTTACTCATCAAAGTGTCAGTATTAAAAAAAAAATTCTTTTTCACTGCTTATTGCGCTTAAACAGTCAAATACACACAAAATAATGTCAAAATGCCGTTCTTGGCGAGTATTCACGTCATGTTTTAAGTGAATGTAAACCGTTGAGAAAGAAACAGAACTAGGGCTGTCACTTTACGTTCGAGAATCGATTGCACAATCGATCGGACCAACCAACACAAGTTTCGGAAACGAAAATAGGGAATCGATTTTAACGGCCTTTTTACCCCAAAATGTGTGTTATGTGGACAGATCAATACAGCACACAGAACATGTCGGATGCTGGAAAATAACAATGTCTTTTCTGTTAACCAAACGCTTTTTAATATTCACTATTACTTTCGCAAGTTAACAAGCGCGCCGTTATTTGTAGCGTAGTGACGTTTGTGTGTGTGTGTGTTCAAGTAAGCCAGAAATGCGCAGATTCTGCAATACGCTGTGTTTAATATATCATGAGGATCACGAGTTGCGCTGAATCTGCACAGATTTGTCTTACACGAACTTCCCCAGCAAAGTGAGTAAACACAGAAACGCCAGATTGGCTCGTGATTCGACAGCGTTTCCCGCCAAAGTTCATTTGTACGCGCATCTGGCGGGTCGAGGTGTTAATCTCAATCCCTGAATGTTGCGCTTCTGTTTGTCATTGTGCTGAAACTTCACGCCAGTAAATCATCAGGAATATCGCTGACTTGTGCGTCTCAAGCGCCTCTTTACGCTCGTCCTAACGCCTGTTAGGTGGCCGTGGATTTGCCTGTATTTGGTGTTGAAAATGGAAACGTCTTTAGACATGGAAAATTGATTCAATGAACACTCATGTCTCAAAATCTCACAAAAGTGACAGCCCTAAACAGTATAATGGATTCGTGCGTCAGGTTTTAAAGTGACAGTAGCCTAATATTCCTGCTGCCAAATTATGAGATATTAAAAATATCCATAAGGCAGTTTTCCCCCATGGTATCAATGTCAAAACTGTGGCCAGTGGAAATGATGAGTGGCTCGTACCTTTGGAAAACCACTCGCCACAGTGGTGAGCAGAACAAGTTAACGTCAAGCCCTGGTTGTAATGCTTTCCATTCCAAGGGATAGTTCACCCAAACATGTAAACTCTGTCAGTAATGACTCTCCCTCGTGTTGTTCAACCCCGTCAGACTTTCCTTCATCTTCGGGACACAAATGAAGATATTTGTGATTAAATCTGAGAGCTGTCTCACTCCTCCATAGGCTTCTATTGTAATTGAAACTTGCCGGAACAGAAAGTTATTAAAGACATCGTTAAAATAGTCCGAGTGACGACAGCGTCTCAACCTTAAGTTTATCAAGCGGCGAGAATACTTTCTGTGCGCAAAAAAACAACTTTATTCAACTCTTCATCTTCTTCTCTGTGGGCCTCGAGTGAGTTCTCGTAGTGTAACAGCGCAGCGCTTCTGGTGTACGTCACACACACACACACACACACACATGACCAGCGTCGGCCAATAGTGAGCCTGCTGAATGAAGAGTTGAATAAAGTCGTTCTTTTTGTGTGTTTTTTGCGCACAGAAAGTATTCTCGTCGCTTGATAAACTTAAGGTTGAGCCGTTGTAGTCACTCGTTTACATGTTTGGATGAACTATCCCTTTAAAGCGCAACAGAAATGAGTTTTGCTCAGTGTCATGAATGAAGCCCGTCGTGTTCGTGCGCACCTCACTATGGTCAGGTTTTTTTAGTCCGTCTGTTTTGCACTAAAACTAAAACTAGAGAAGCAATCATGAGTCGGCCAGATGAATCTGAACTGGACAGATGATGGCTTAAAAAAATACAACAGCACAACGTAATGGTCTGTTCGTAACATGTAAACATTCACACACTCGATAACCTCCATCCGGTGAACAGTTGCTGTGGTGGGAAGTGTGTGTCATGGGTCGCTTTGCACATCAAAATCACATTTGCATTGTGACATTTTCCTCCCGTATGATTAATGTAATGTGAAAAATTTACTATTTTAGTATTGTACTGGCTTGATGTTTGTTATACGCTATATAAAAACATAAATGCATTTAAGTAATGAGAATTCAATGACAATCATCAAGAATAATAAAAATAAGAATAATGTGCAATGCATTATGGTCATTTAATTTTGCATTGTGATAATGATATATAGGAGGAGGGGAAATGAAAATAAAGTCACAATGCATCGTTTATTTTACCTGTGATTTTGTAGTGAAATGTGACCCAGACGCGCTTTCATGACATTTACTCAAATCATAAATGTGAACTCTGGTTGATGTGGAGCAAGACCACTAGAAGGGCTGCTGAGTGTTTTCATGTATATTTATCAATTATTATTATTATTATTAATGTGTAGAATAGCTGTGGAGTAACTTGAACATCGCAAAACTCCTGTTCATCCTCAAACTACTGAATATAGAACCAAATTAAGAAAAAAATAAATTTATAGCAGGAGATTAATAAACATTTCAAGGTTTTAAACTGTGATTGCAGGTATTGTGTGTGTGTACAGGCTTCTGGGATATATATATGTATCTCTGAATATGAGTCGTGGCATTTCACATCCTGAGGGCAGGAGTAATAGTGAGTAATAAGAAACAAAAACACTCACATCTCTGTAAGATTACTGTATATGCGTTCGGCTGCTGTCCTGTATGAGCTTCCGCACTCCACAATACTTCAAAAAATTAAAGCACATTCGAGGGGAAAAAAAGCACATATGAGTGAATCTCACAAAAACAATAACATGCCCAGGCCATTTTTCACTCCAAAAATCTAAAAGAAATTACAAAGTATATTTTTCTGACAGAAAATGAGACCTATTTTTTAGGACCAAAAACTCTCATTAATTAAATGTGGAAAAATATATATATTATTAAAATTGTCAAGCACAATTGTAAGTATAACTAGTAACAAATAAATAAAAATATATAAAAATATTAATTAAAAATGCAATGCAGGCTGTTATAAAAAAAAAAAAAAGAAGTTTATTTTACATAGACTAAAGTAAAATAAAAAAATTAATTTTGTTTTTGGCTTGAAACATGACCTGAACACACACACACTAATGAGATTCACTCAAAAGATGGAGTGCATAAACATACATTTGTGCTAGAGATTGAAACATTTTAAATCATCAGCGTATTTTTCTCTATTTGACTCTCATTTTGACGATTAGGCTGAAGTGAGAATTTCATACATGTTAATAGTCCATTTTAAGACATTGCACTTGTAAATAAATACCATTTTTAATACAGTATTTTGTGTTGCTCTTATTTGACTAACAGATCAATACATTTCTATGACCTTTTCTGGCATTTGTGTGATTTCTATGGAAGCTTGTTTCCGCCACAGAATGAAAAATAAAAAAGGTTGCGACTTTTTATCTCACAATTCTGACTTTTTTTTCTCACAATTGCGTGATATAAAGTCAGAATTGCGTGATATAAGTCGCAATTGCGTGATATAAGTCGCAATTGCGTGATATAAAGTCAGAATTGCGTGATATAAGTCGCAATTGCGTGATATAAAGTCAGAATTGCGTGATATAAAATCAGAATTGCGTGATATATTCAGAATTGCGTGATATATTCAGAATTGCGTGATATATTCAGAATTGCGTGATATAAAATCAGAATTGCGTGATATATTCAGAATTGCGTGATATAAAGTCAGAATTGCGTGATATAGTCAGAATTGCGAGATATTAAGTCACAATTGATTGATATAAAGTTGAAATTGCGTGTTGTAAAGTCAGAATTGTGAGATATAAACTATTCTGAGGGGAAAAAAGTTAGTAGTTTATATCTCACAATTCTGAGAAAAGACGTCAGAATTTCGAGATATAAACTCGCAATTGTGTGTTATAAAGTCAGAATTGCGAGATATAAAGTTGCAATTGTGAGAAAAAAAGTCAAAATTCTGTCTTTTTCTTCTCGCAATTGCGACTTTTTCTCAGAATTGCGACTTTATTTCTCACAATTGCGACTTTATTTCTCACAATTCCGACTTCATATCTCGCAATTGTGAGATAAGTAGAAATTATTTATTTATTTATTTTAAATTCAGTGGCGGAAATAAGCTTCCATAGATTTCCAACCAATTAGAGAACAGAAAAAATAATTTTCTTGCGTAACCTTTTAAGAGTCCTGGAAATTAAATACATACAGGTGAAACTTGAAAAATTAGAATATGGTGCAAAAGTTCATTTATTTCAGTAATTCAACTTAAAAGTTGAAACTAATATATTATATAGACTCATTACATGCAAAGTGAGATATTTCAAGCCTTTATTTGTTATAATTGTGATGATTATGGCTTACAGATATGAAAACCTTTTCATAATATTCTAATTTTGACTTTGGGGTTTTCATAAGCTGTAATCTATAATCATCACAATTATAACAAATAAAGGCTTGAAATATCTCACTTTGCATGTAATGAGTCTATATAATATATTAGTTTCACCTTTTAAGTTGAATTACTGAAATAAATTAACTTTTGCACGATATTATAATTTCTCGAGTTTCACCTGTATACAAGTATGAATTTTCATGTATTAATAGCTTTATTGCCAATGTGTGCAACGAAACTTAAACGAGACCTTCCCCGATGGCGTCAGGGTGTTTATTAACAGTGGATTATATTATTTATACAGGTATTTCAAACTTCTTTTGACTTCTAAGGAATATCAGGGTCTCGTCTCTTGTACATTAGCTATAAGCTGCTACTGTAGTTCACTTAAAGGGGTGGTTGATTATGATTTCACTTTTTTTATTTAGTTAGTGTGTAATGTTGCTGTTTGAGCGTAAACAACATCTGCAAAGTTACAACGCTCAACGTTCAAAGCAAAGGGAGAGATTTGCTTTTACAGAAATCACTTTTTAAGGACTACAACAAACGGCTGGAAGAACTACACGAGCTTCCTCCCGGTGTTAGTGACATCACAAACCCTAAGATTTACATAAACTCCGCCCCCAGTAACGCGATTTATAGATTATCACGACAGAATATGCTAATCAATGACTAGAAGATACCAACACATAAGCTTCATAAATTCATCAACTAACCATTCAGAAATGTTTTCTACAAGTTGTCACTTCTTCTTGAGTCTCTCCATTATTGTCTGACTCCGGTTTGAACATAAACATTGACATTTTCAGTGCGTGTGTGTGTGAGGTAAAAGGACACGAGCTGTTGAAGCTCCGCCCCCTCCGCCGGGAGCAGCAGCTCATTTGCATTTAAAGGGACACACACAAAAACAGTGCGTTTTTGCTCACCCTCAAAAAGTGACAATTTTAAAATGCTATGTATAAATATCTGTGGGGTATTTTAAGCTAAAACTTCACACACACACTCTGGGGACATCAGAGACTTATTTTACATCTTGTGAAAAGGGCATTATACCACCCCTTTAACGGCTAATCGCTTATAGCAAGAGTTTCTGAATTCTACAAACAGCCCCTTTGAAATCTCCCTCATATTTCATAGTTTTTAACAGGTTATTTAATGCTATAACCCACATATTTGTTGTCTCGACCGGAAAAGTACCACACGTTATGACAGAATTTTTTTTTCTCTTTAGATTTATTGAGCTATGTAAAAAAAAAAAAAAAAGTTTGAATGTTTAAAACTTGTCGGGATGAAGCTCCATCTCCCTCTTGATCCTGTCCTCCACCAGCAGTGCCAGATTCGAGTTCGTCATGGGCAAGTTGTAACTTACAAACACCTGCTTCTTTGTCTTCTTTGCTGAAAAGAAATAGAGAAAACTAGTTGAACACCAGGGCCCGTATTCATAAAGACTAAGAATCCTCTCAGAAAACTCTTCATTTAGCTAAAAAACCTTTACGTAGGACTCTTAGCTTAAGAGCGATTCGGGACCGATTTGAGAGCAACTCAAGGAAAAGACAACAACGTTCATCTTAGTGAGGAGGCGGGGTTGACCCCGTTGCTACGTGTCATACAATCTTTTGAAGACTGTGATTGGTTGGTTGTCCAAGAAGAAAAAAAAAGAGTGATTTTAAGTATAGGGTCTATTCTAAGCCTTAACTTTGCGTAATTTTTCCTATTTGACACACACACACACACACACACATTATATATGTGTATATATAAATCCTTTTTTTTTTTTTTTACCATGCTGTTAATTTCCTATAAGGTGTTTGATTGGCTTAGAATGATAGAAATTGTTCCACTCTTTCCAATTACACTGATTGCTGGCATGTCTATTTAAGTGTTAAGGTGTGAATGTTGGTTTTAATGTAACAAACATGGAATCAAAACCAAGACGGCCGAGAAAGCCGGACTGGACAGAGGAACAGTGTTTACTGTGAGCCCAGTTAGTGGATGAACACAAGGCCATCCTTAAAGGAACATTCGGGCCTTTATTTGTTATAATTGTGATGATTATGGCTTACAGCTTATGAAAACCCCAAAGTCAAAATTAGAATATGGTGCAAAAGTTCATTTATTTCAGTAATTCAACTTAAAAGGTGAAACTAATAGGTAAAACTTACAGATATGAAAACCTTTTCACAATATTCTAATTTTGACTTTGGGGTTTTCATATCTGTAAGCCATAATCATCACAATTATAACAAATAAAGGCGTGAAATATCTCACTTTGCATGTAATGAGTCTATATAATACATTAGTTTCACCTTTTAAGTTGAATTACTGTAATAAATGAACTTTTGCACCATATTCTGATTTTTTCGAGTTTCACCTGTACATTTAAATACAGAAAAACAAGCTCAAAAAGACTGGCACATTAGAAGCCTTCTCTAAAAGCCTCATCATCAATATGTTTCTAAACGTGCAAACTGTTCATCACGATTTCAAAATAAAAGTTTAAACCTTCGCTCTGAATTTGCATGATTTGATGTTCCACATATTCTTACTCACTATCGTAAAGAAGTGGCCAATTATTAAAGATTAAGTGGACATTTGAATTAAATGTCGTTGGGACAGTATTAAACAAGGATTTGATTCATCATGCTGTAAAGTGTAATAACAACAAGTTTTAAGTTTTAATACATCATTTACATAAGATGATTGTATATATTATGTATATAACATTATGTAATATTTAACAGTGTTGTACAATAAAACAATATGATTACTTGCTTTTGATACTTAATTTTAACTAAATATTATTGCATCACTGTTATTATATATGTATTGAGGTCATTTTAAAAGCTATTGTTAGCTTAGGTCTATTTTTATTACCACAAAAATATCCAGATTGCTCGATTAATCTTCAAAATAATTGACCGTTAGTGACAGCCCTACACACGACTCATGTCTGATGGATTGTAACCGGTGGCGTGATCTTACTGAGTCTCTGAGCGAGAGAGATGGGGGTCGTGTCGGACGTGTCTCCCAGAACCAGAGTCGAAAGAGGCGAGGAATCCTGGGAGAAAAACAGCAAATACACGATATGAGCTGCAGAAAACACTTCTATGAGGGAGCTACTGTGACCCACATCAAAAATACACCCTTATTAAAGAAATTGCCTATATATATATATATGTGTGTGTGTGTATTTCTTTTATACGGGTGTATTTTATTTGAAATCTTAAAGTCTGTTTAGAGAGAACGGTGTCGTCTTAGTGGCCCCTAATTTAATAACAAATGATCATTTCGACGGAAGTGAATCAATCAAAACTAACTTTAGCTGGAAAATAACATTATTCAAGAACCGCTATAAAACCAAAACAATCTCTGTTACCTTAAACTATATGTTTATCTCTGTAAAGCTGCTTTGAAACAATCTACATTGTTAAAAGCGTTATATAAATGAGGATGACTTGACTTGTTTTCTCTGATTGGTTATATATACACACACACAAATACATACATATACGTATACATGTTCACATATACATATACACACACATATATACACACACACACACATATGTATATACACACACACATATACACACACATATATATATATACACACACACATATATATTATTATATATATATACACACACAGACACATATATAAATATATATATACACACACACATCTATATATATATATATATATATATATATATATATATATATATATATATATATATATGAACACACACACACATCTATATATATATATATATATATACACACACACACACACATATATATATATATATATATATGTGTGTGTGTGTGTGTATATATATATATATATATATATAGATGTGTGTGTGTATATATATATATGTGTGTGTCAAGGCCGTAACCAGGGTTTGAAAATTAGTGAGGTCCGGGGTGTTGTGTAAAGAATTTTGCTATAATAATGGTTTGGCCATTGGAACCACATTTCCCAATGGACATTAAGCTGTGACCCTTTTTTTTTATGGAATTTGGCATATATATATATATATATATATATATATACAGGGGTTAAATTTGGATTTAATTATGTGTGGGGTAGTCTCTCACTAGGGGGGTCCGAGGGTTTGCCCCCCCGGGATTTTTTTTGTGAAAAATAAACCAAAATGGCACTTTCTGGAGAGTTTTGTGCAAAGAAAAAGTAGGTCTAGCAAGTTCAACGCAATCTCACGACCAATTCGTCCGAATTTGACGAGTGATTAAAAGATGGCTAATTCGTACGAATTCGTACGACCTCATTCGTACGAATTTGTACGATTTGTCTAAACCCACGTGATGGGTAGGTTTAGGGGCGGGGTCAGGGTCATTCGTACGAATTCATACGAATTGGGCAACTCGTCAAATATGTACGTTTTAGCAAAAATCGTACTAATTCGTACGAGTGAGGTCGTACGAACTGTTACGAATTAGCCATCTTTTAATCACTCGTCAAATTCGGACGAAATTCACACAGATCAAACACAAATATGCTGACTGAATAGATTGCTAGTTGAGAAACACTGCTTTAATTAATGTTTTTATGATGGCTTTGTGAAAGGTTAACTAAACAGCATGAGCCGTCTTCCAGCTGGCCAGTAAGTTATTTGGCAAATTTCATTCTGTAGGCTAACATACAGATCTGTTTTATGCTATTGTTTTTGATAGTGTTATACATTTCTTACAGATAATCGATTGTCATTGCGTTTGTCTTACCGAATGTGGTAGCTTTATGCAATTACAGTTTGTCTATAAGCTTCTTCTTTTTTTAAATGTATTAATGCCGACAGTTAAATGTTGCCAGATATTGCTACGAAAAACAAGCAAAACAAAATAATAATAATAATCCGAAATAAGTTCAAAGCTTGTGTTTTGGAAATAAGGTTAATATATCACTAAACCTTCCCACATTAATAACTTCCTAAAGTGTCACATTAAATCAGAAAAACAGGTGACTACTGCCACCTTTCTATTAGGTGGATCTGGCAACACGGAGGCTGCACCCGCGTTCACAACGCGCTCTCAAGCCCCGTTCAGTTCACTGCGCCAGCTTCTCGCAGCAACATGAATTGCAAACACTCATATGAGGTGGTTTAAACACTGCTAATTAATCATTCAGAGAGCTTGACATTTTATTTTTGAATGTAAAAAAAATGACCGAGGTCCGGACCTCGGTGACCTCATAGCTGGCTACGGCCATGGTGTGTGTGTGTATATATATATATATATATATATATATATATATATACACACACACACATATATATATATACACACACACATGTATATACATACATGATACACACACACACACACACACACACACACACACACACACACACAAGATAATGTCGAAGATAAAGCAGGACTCACATATTTACTCCCGATGGACACGGCCAGATTGGACAGCACCGGGCCGGACCCGATCCAGAGGAAGAACCCGCCGCTCAGCTTCATCACGTGGAAATTAACCAGTTGCTCCAGGATCTTCTCTGAGAAATCATGGACAGAGATGCCCTGCACAGACGCCTGAGTGCTGGAGTCACCGTTCTCCACAGTCTCCATCCCGATCCGCCTTCACACAGCGATCAAACCATGCAGAACCAGAACTCTCATAATGAAAGTAAACACACACACGCGCCTCGCTCTTCCTCAGTTCCGCTCAGCGACAGAGACTGTAGCGACACCCGCCGGTGTGGAGGACGAGTGCCGGAAACAAAACCAGCAGGGATGGATGATTATGATTTCACTTTTTTAACGTTAGATAGCGTGTAATATTCGGTAATATTGCTGTTTGTGCATAAACATCTACAAAGTTGCGACGCGAGCGTGTAGCGACACCCGCTGGTTTGGCGGGAAAGTGCCGTAAACAACAGTCAAGGATTTTACGTTAAAAGTGCGCTTTTAGGTTCGCTTTTTTCCCTAATGGTTTTAATTATTTTGTATTCCAGTGTGTTCTTTTGTTTTTTGTACGCTTTGTATTTCTTTGTATATAGTGTATTTTTTTACTTTTTTATTATTATTTATTTTTCTCTTTGTATTTTTATTGTGTAAAGTGCCTTGAGAAGCTGCTTTAAATTCGCTATATAAAATAAAGTTTATTATTATTATTATTATTTATTAAGATATTTTAAAGAATAGACCAAAGTCACCAAACAGTTAATGGACCCCATTGACTTCCATTTTTTTTCCCAGTGTTGGGCAACAATTAATCACATCCGAAATAAAGGTTTGTGTTTACCATACATAATATATGTGTGTGTACTGTGTATAATTATTTTGTATATATACATACAAACACATGCATTCATATATTTAAGAAATATTTGCATGTATATACTGTATATATATTTATATTATATATAAATTTGAATATTTTATATATAAATAACACATTTTTCTTAAAGCTGCAGTCCGGCATTTTTCCTCTTTGTCGCCATCTCTGTTCGAAATCTGCAATTGCAGTCATTCGCGGAATTATCAACTTTACGTGGGTTGTAGTTCAACACCCTCGACACTGCACAGCGCGGATGAACACAGTGTTTGAGGAGAGTGTGTGTGTCAGTCACCGCGCCGATGTGGATATTGTCATTCAGAATCACAGATTATTCTTTTTGGAAGTATGACCAACATAAGAATTTTCACCGGGAAATGTCATCTGAACTAGTAAGAAACATTCACTTTTGTTCTGGTTCTGACATTGCAGTAAATCGCGCTGATTAAATCTAACAATTGCTTATAAGTTATCATTTCACGCAAAACCGTGCAAAGTAGCTATACTATGTTCTCTAATTGTTAATGTTAACAACGTCAGCAAGCATTGCGTGACTACATCATGTAATGTCCTTCCGATATTATCCTTGTTTGCGCATGGTCCGGTTGCAGTCTCTTTTTTTCTGTAGCCACTCCGAAGTCCGAACGAAGTCTTTTGCATGTTACAGCGGGTGAGTCTCTAGTCGTCACTGATGATGATCGTCGTTTGAACCTTTCTGGATCCGCCATCAAATTGATAAGTTTAATTATATCAAGTGCTGTGAGAAAAGGCTATAAATCTCCACCTCCAACATCCTCACACGCAATATAGCTTATACTAGCCGAGACTCCTTCTTTATGTGTACAGATGTGACGTAATGACGCAAAGACATGCTCGAATCTCCCGCGGAAATCCACCAGTACCACTAAAATTAAAAACATTATTACAAGCTTACCGCTTTGCATCGAGCTAAGGCAAGCAGATAGTTTTGAACACTGGCTGGTTATGTATTTTATCAAATATGTATTTTGGATAATTTTTAACCCAAAAAAAGCTACGGACAGCAGCTTTAAATATATACATGCATGTGTGTGTTTATATATACAAAATAATGATACACAGTACACACACATATATTATGTAAACTCAAACTTATTTTGGATGCGATTGATCACGATTAATCATTGCACAGCACTATGAAATATATAATTTTAACAGAAAAGTTTTGATTGGGGGATTTAAACACTTGACATCTGGCAACCGCACGCATTAAAAGCTCAAAGTAGAGGTTTGTTTAAAACAGCCTGTAATATTTTTTCCACATAAATAAAGAGAGATTTTGGTAAAGGTTTTACTTTTAGAACTACATTTTAATCTTGTAACGATGTTGCGTGTTGATTTAGTCACAGCTATTGTTTAATTACCTTATTGTCGTCTCCAATAACAGAATTTTAGCCTTTTCATGAGGCAGAAATAATAATAATAAAAAATAAAAAATATTAAAGAATTTCAAACAATAGAATTGTAGCCTTTTCATGAAGAAATAATAAAATAAATAAATATTAAAGAATTTCAAACAATAATATAATTTAAGCCTTTTCATGAGGCAGAAATAATAAAATAAAAATAAATAAATATTAAAGAATTTCAAACAATAGAATTGTAGCCTTTTCATGAAGAAATAATAAAATAAATAAATATTAAAGAATTTCAAACAATAATAGAATTTTAGCCTTTTCATAAGGAAGAAATAATGAAATAAAAATAAATAAATATTAAAGAATTTCAAACAATAACAGAATTTTAGCCTTTTCATAAGGAAGAAATAATGAAATAAAAATAAATAAATATTAAAGAATTTCAAACAATAATAGAATTTTAGCCTTTTCATGAGGCAGAAATAATAAAATAAAAATAAAGAAATATTAAAGAATTTCAAACAATAATAGAATTTAAGCCTTTCAATGAGGCATAAACAATCAAATAAATAAATATTAAAGAATAATAGAATTTAAGCCTTTCAATGAGGCATAAACAATAAAATAAATAAATATTATAGAATTTCAAACAATAATAGAATTTTTGCCTTTTCATGAGGAAGAAATAATAAAATAAAAATAAATAAATATTAAAGAATTTCAAACAATAATAGAATTTAAGCCTTTCAATGAGGCATAAACAATAAAATAAATAAATGAATAAATATGAAAGAATTCCAGCCTTTTAATGAATTTAACTTTAATCTCGTAATTTTCCGTCACTGATGTTGCATGTTAATATAGTCACAGTTATCGTTCAATGACCTTCTTAGTCCCGAGAGAAAAGTCCCCAGTCCTCGTTTCCCGCAGTAACTGAACCCCGAGCGCCCGGATCTGCTCACGGGGACAGAAACCCCTCCACCAGTGCGTTAAACTCGGAGGAATATCGCAGGTGAAGGTTGTGCTTCCCCTCCGGCATCACGTGTAACCTGAGGAACACAAGAGTCCGTCAGAAGCGAGCGTCGAGTCGTGTGGATGAGCACATGTGGGGTGAAGCGTCTCACCGCGAGCCGCTGATGTTCTGCTGAAGGTGTTGCGGGTGAGATGAGGGAATCATCGGGTCTTTGGCCCCGTGGACGATCAGCGTGGGACAAGAGATCAGCGGCAGCGCTTCCATACATATGTTCCCTGATGAGGAAGACACATGTGTGACCCGGGACCACAAAACCAGTCACATTTGATATTGAGATGTATACATCATCTGAAAGCTGAATAAATAAGCTGTTCATTGATGTATGGTTTGTTATGATAGGACAATGTTTGGCTGAGATACAGCTATTTGAATATCTGAGGGGGCAAAAAATCAAAACATTGAGAAAATCGCTTTTAAAATTGTGCATTTCTGTTCACGATTGTGCTGCATTCACTCACAAAAATAAACGTTTTATATATTTACAGTAGGAAATTTACTAAATATCTTAATAGAACATGATCTTTACTTAATATCCTATTGATTTTTGGCATAAAAGAAAAATAAAAATTTTTGACCCATGCAATGTATAGTTGGCTATTGCCTCAAATACACCCGTGCGACTCTTGACTGGGTTTGGGATCCAGCGTCACTCATGATCTATTAGAGGTGTAACGATTCCCTAATGTCACGATTCACGATTCAATACATATCACGATACCATATTATTGCGATACTCCAAGACATATAATAAAAGGTTTACAAAAAATGCACTATTGATTAAAATGCTAAATTTGATATTGCATTGTGTGTGTAAATGAATAGTCTTGGACTTGAAACCCAAAGCACAGACAATAGAGACACCAGAATAACAATATTCATGATTCTGAAGCTGAAAATACTGAATTATTTAGACGAATATGCTTGCACTCTGTCACTGACTAGATATATTTAAAATAATGCCACTTTTTACTGGTAACAGACATTTGGCATCATCAGGACCCACAAATATCCCCCCATTGCATTATTATACATTATAATCAACATTATATATAGTAGTTTAATGTAGTACTGACACTGAAACTCTGAAAACGTGAATTTTTTTTCAAGTTGCACATAAATTTTTATTTTGGGTGAACTATACACAATATATATTGTCACTATCCACGATACATATTGTTGCATTTTATGTATTGCGATATATTGTGACATGATATATATTGTTACACCCGTAATTTTTACTGTATTATCATCATGAGAATGCAAAGAGAAAAGGGATGAATTTGAACCACAATTAAATTTGATTTAGTGGATAAAAGTGCTTAAGATATTATTTTAGTTAAGCTTTATTTATTAAAAACAATAATTTATAATTAATTTAATTTTTTATTTTTAAAGCAATAAAGTAGTTTTTCTTTAAAATAATATTTATACAGTATAATTAGTATAATATTCCTCGTTTGTAAGTTGCTTTGGATCAGAGTGTCTGTTGATGAGGAGTCTGGCTGTACTGAAGAACACTAACACTGGTTGGTGAAGTGAAACTGGTCCTGACCCTGTGGTTTGCGTGTGAACTGGCTGATCGCGTCGACCCATCTCTCCCACGTCTGACGGAAGTATTGAGCGCCGTACATCTCCTCCATCGGCCGGCGCATTCGCTCGCTCCACAACGACACGTCACGCATCGCTGGAACACACACGAGGATGATGATGATTAGGGTCGGGAATCGAACACTTGAGGTCTGGAATCGGATACTTGTTATAAAATTAAAATTTCGATTCCTGTTATCGATTCCTTTGAGTATTTCAGTGTGACTTTAAACCACTGAAGCGAGAGAGACTCTGTTCTCTGTGCTCGTGTGTATCAGTGTATCGGATCCGTGCGGCTCTTAAAGTGACGGCACTAATATTCCTGCCGTCTCTATAATAACACTAATCACACGACAGAAGACAGAGAAAACTCACTCGTTCTTCACTGAATAACTTTTGTAACTACACTGCAACACAAACGCAACTTTTGTAACTACAAACGCAACACTTTTGTTTTTGCCCCCATTTTTCATGAGCTGAACTCAAAGATCTAAGACTTTTTCTATGTACACAAAAGGCCTATTTCTCTCAAATATTGTTCACAAATCTGTCTAAATCTGTGTTAGTGAGCACTTCTCCTTTGCCGAGATAATCCGTCCACCTCACAGGTGTGGCGTATCAAGATGCTGATTAGACAGCATGATTATTGCACAGGTGTGTCTTAGGCTGTCCACAATAAAAGGCCACTCTAAAATGCGGGGCGGGTGGGGGTGGGGGGGGGGGGGGGGGTGTATACGTCCGGCGTATACGACAGCGTGTCCCAGGTCCTGCCAATATCCAGCAACTTCCAACATGAGTGGACCAACATAAATGTCCGTAAAACTGCACATTTTAGAGTGGCCTTTTATTGTGGACAGCCTAAGACACACCTGTGCAATAATCATGCTGTCTAATCAGCATCTTGATATGCCACACCTGTGAGGTGGATGGATTATCTCGGCAGAGGAGAAGTGCTCACTAACACAGATTTAGACAGATTTGTGAACAATATTTGAGAGAAATAGGCCTTTTGTGTACATAGAAAAAGTCTTAGATCTTTGAGTTCAGCTCATGAAAAATGGGGGCAAAAACAAAAGTGTTGCGTTTATAATTTTGTTCCGTGTATATTTGTAATGTATATTTTATTTATAAAGTGCAGTGTTATTTTACATTTGATTAGTTTGAGAACCTGAATTCCTGAAAATCTAAAACACTGTTTATTTCAATCGTATCTTTGTTCAGTTGTGTCTATTTGTTGCGATTGCTAATTTTTTATTTGTTCTTTTTTAATTACTGAGTGTTTACTAGTCTTTAATAATGCTTGAAACTTACATTAGTTTGGCTAGTTGTTTTTCTATGGTATTTTTAAATAAGTTCCTTGTGTAAGTGTCCTTTAGCCTGTTGATTTTTGTTCATGATATTCAGCTACAATTTAATGTTTTGCAATAAGACTAAATGTGAATGATGTCTACGTGTTTTTTTTTTACCTTAATGGAATCGAAATTAGGAATCGATAAGAATCGCAATCGCTAAAATTGAAACGATACCCAACCCTAATGCTGATGAAACTGTCCTCTGATGTCCTCTCATCTTACCCTGATAGATCTGAACGTCTTCTTTAGACACGTAAGCGTTGGCGCCCCAAACCACCATCTGGTTAATGAGTTCAGGGTTTAACGAAGCCGAGATCAGAGCCGTGATGCCACCGTCACTCCAGCCCAACAGAGAGAAACGCCTGAAGCCCAGAGCCTGCAGGACATCACACATTTACATGAGGCTTGAGCACAAGGGATTATCAATATGGCAGTCCGGTTAGTTTTTATAGTGGCTTAGGGGTCAAATGAGGATGTCAGAAATGATCAAATGGCAACAAAAAATAAAGTTAAATAAATATGAAGGAATTTCAGCCTTTTAATGAGGCTGACATTTTTTTAAAAACATTTTTTATATATATATGTTAAAGAATTTCAGCCAATAATAGAATTTTGGCCTTTTCATGAGGCAATTTAAATAAATAAATAAATAAATGAATATTAAAGAATTTCAGCCAATAATAGAATTTTCATTAGGCAATTTTTAAATAAATATGAAAGAATTTCAGCCAATAATAGAATTTTCATTAGGCAATTTTTAAATAAATATGAAAGAATTTCAGCCAATAATAGAATTTTCATTAGGCAATTTTTTAAATAAATACATTTTAAAGAATGTCAGTGTTTTAATGAGGATGAAACAAAATATTAAAACAATTCAGCCAATAAGAAACAATAAATAAATAAATATTAAAGAATTTTAGCCTATAATAGAATTTTAGCCTCTTTTGAGTCTGAAACAATAAAATAAATAAATAAAAGCATATTAAAAAATTTCAACAATTAATAGAATTTCAGCCTTTTAATCAAGGCTGAAACAATAAAATAAATATTAAATAATTTCAGGCTTTTAATGAGGCTGCAACAATAAAATAAATAAATATCAAAGAATGTCAGCATTTCAATGAAGCAGAAACAACTAAATAAATAAATATTAAAGAATTCTAGCCTTTTATTGAGGCTGACTGTTATTCTCTTTATCACAACCTTCATCACAGTTACATCCCCACATTTTTAAGTCACTATTGCATTTTAAAGTGTCATTTTGAGCGTCACAAAATTGGCTCTAAAATCAAGGTATTTCTTTCTGATTTCTGGTTTGAAATATCAAGATTGATACTGGACTCTTTCCTGCCGTACTTGCATTAAGTCCAGCGCGTCCTTGGCATCTCTGTGGAAGAAATTCTCCGGGAAATCTCTGTCTGGAGGCCGTGAGTGTCCGTAACCCCGCGGGTCAAACGCCACCAGAGTGAACCGCTTCTTATCCAGCTGCTCCAGCTGTGGCCCAAAATCCGTCTCAGCACTTCCTGTCAACACAGGAAGTGAGGAAGAAAATAACATGATGTGCCTCAACGATCAATACACTACCAGTCAAATGTGTATGTTAACTGAAACTAAAGCCGTTAAAAATCATTTTCATTAACTGAAATGAAGCTTAGATACAATAAAACATATATATTTAGAGAAAAACTTACATTTGAAAAAAATTGCCTTGACAACTAACTGCAAATAAATAAAATTAAGTACTAAAATTACTCACAGAGATATTAAAAACAACAACAACAAAAAAAACACACGTTATACACTAAAATTAAATGGAAAATATAATATAATGTTATAATCATGACAAAAGGTCGAAATTAGGAAATAAAAAGTTTGTTTTAAAAAAGTTTTAATACTTATGACATACTAAGTCAAGATTTAAAAAAAATTATGACAAAATTAAAAAACTAAAATTGTGAGACAGTAAAAATGATTAGGCCTACATACTAAAAAATAATTATGATTTAGTATGTGATCATTTAATCTCATATTAAAAGTATCTTATAATTTGGTCTTTTTATGTTATAATTTTTTAATGCTATTAAAATGCTGTTATCGTTTGAATGCTGTTAGACTGTTGTTTATATACTGTAATGCTGTTAGACTGTTGTTTATATACTGTAATGCTGTTAGACTGTTGTTTATATACTGTAATGCTGTTAGACTGTTGTTTATATACTGTAATGCTGTTAGACTGTTGTTTATATACTGTAATGGTGTTAGACTGTTGTTTATATACTGTAATGCTGTTAGACTGTTGTTTATATACTGTAATGGTGTTAGACTGTTGTTTATATACTGTAATGCTGTTAGACTGTTGTTTATATACTGTAATGCTGTTGTTTATATACTGTAATGCTGTGAGACTGTTGTTTATACTGTAATGCTGTTAGACTGTTGTTTATATACTGTAATGCTGTTAGACTGTTGTTTATATACTGTAATGGTGTTAGACTGTTGTTTATATACTGTAATGCTGTTAGACTGTTGTTTATATACTGTAATGCTGTTAGACAGTTGTTTATATACTGTAATGCTGTTAGACTGTTGTTTATATACTGCAATGGTGTTAGACTGTTGTTTATATACTGTAATGCTGTTAGACTGTTGTTTATATACTGTAATGCTGTTGTTTATATACTGTAATGCTGTGAGACTGTTGTTTATACTGTAATGCTGTTAGACTGTTGTTTATATACTGTAATGGTGTTAGACTGTTGTTTATATACTGTAATGCTGTTAGACTGTTGTTTATATACTGTAATGCTGTTAGACTGTTGTTTATATACTGTAATGGTGTTAGACTGTTGTTTATATACTGTAATGCTGTTAGACTGTTGTTTATATACTGTAATGGTGTTAGACTGTTGTTTATATACTGTAATGCTGTTAGACTGTTGTTTATACTTTAATGCTGCTAGACTGTTGTTTATATACTGTAATGCTGTTAGACTGTTGTTTATACTTTAATGCTGCTAGACTGTTGTTTATATACTGTAATGGTGTTAGACTGTTGTTTATACTGTAATGCTGTTAGACTGTTGTTTATATACTGCTGTGAGACTGTTGTTTATATACTGTAATGCTGTTGTTTATATACTGTCTGTAATGCAGACCTAAAGCTCCAGGCAGCAGCAGAACCGCGTGTTTTCCGTCTCCAGCGCGATGATAGTGCAGATTCACTCCATTCACGGACATCTTATCGGAGACAGACTTACTGTAACAGTACAAGAGATGAGAAGAGATTCAGAGTAGGCTATCGTGAAGAACAACTCGCACACATAAACTCACGAGCTGAAGTTTTACCCGTAGAAGCGTCTCTGTATTGCAGCTCTTCTGAAGACGCTGGACATTAAGAGTCCAGTTTGTCTGTAAACGAGTGTCGCCATAAGAACAGAAACACATGAACACCTGTCCTGAAGTTTAAACACTGGGAAACGAGCAAATCTGCGAATGTGTTTCGGGACGAGTCTTTGATTTCACCTTCAGCAGATTCAACACAAATGGACAACGAACACGGGAGAGGGTTTCTAATTTGTTTTGAACAGACAGTATATAGTGCACATTACAGTTTGTTCCTCTTAGCGGCATTTAGTCCCCCCTGAGGTAGTTGAGTGTACAGCCTCCTTTAAGCACAAAGCAGTTAAAGTCCCCCTGTGGTGAAAATCCAGCTTTTAATGTTGTTGTGGTGTTTTTAATATGCTTTAAGACAAACCATGTGTAAATTCATAAGTCGACAGCATTGCTGAGTATTTTCTCCTTAAAGGGGTCATGAACTGGCTTTTAAAAAAAATTATATTGTTGTCTGAGGTCAACTTATGACGTTCGCTTGGTTTTTACATTCAAAAACATCAAAATGAATAAGTAATAGGCTATTTTCTACCCTAGTTTTGAGCCTAGCTCAAAAAGGCTCGGTTTTTGGGCGTCTTGCAATGAAGACTTGGAAAGTAAGTAAACGCCCACTGCGGTGAGTGGATAACAGTTTTGCATATTATAATGAGTTTCGTGTAATGCGCGAATCGGTGGGCGGGGCTAAACCGGCCGTGTTGAAGTAGGCGTTGCTCTTCTTCTGCGGGGGTGGTGTTTTATCCTCTGTCGTCATAGTTCCCCACTTTGAAAAACGAGTCGTTTGCTGAGCCTGGTGTCAATAAAAGCTTTTATTGGACTAACAAGGACGTTTTCAGTTCTGAAACTTACAGGATATTCTTATAATATGATGACCTCTTAGATGTCAAAAGCTCAAGGAAATTTTGATTTCTCAGTTCATCACCCCTTTAAAACTGCAGTGAACCAAAGATAGTCTCAAAAAAACGTTTTGAAATCGCTGCTGTTTCTGACGTCACAAACGACCTTGTAACCAATCAGATCAACGAGTGATCGTCAACGAGTGGATCTCTGAGCTGAGTGAGTGAGTGGAGGCGGGGCTCATTTGCATATTCATAGAACCTATTAGAAGCTATTTTAAGGCATGAAGATTTTTTGAAGTAAAAAAGTTTAAATAAGTATATATAATACATATAATAATATATATAAAGATGAGTTTTAAGGGATACAATTATTGACTACAGGGGGACTTACAATGCACTCTTGCATAGCTCATATTTTTTCATAGGGCTGATAAAAAATAAAACGTATTTGCTCACAATCAGACACAAAACTGAAAAGCATTGTGTTATATAAAAGTACTAATAAATAGAATAATGAAAAAAAAAAAAAAATTGCACTCCTGTCTTTTTCTGCTTAGCTCCGGTAATTGGCACATCAGGATGACGTTGTCTGCCCACTACCCCCCTTATTATAACTAGTGGAAACTATATTATAACAGTGAAAACTACTTAAAATACTCCATAATTTATGGTCATACAATAACGATAAGAGTAAGAGAAAATCCAAAACCGTAAAGGTCTATTTTTTATTTATGTACAGTCACAATAAAAACAAAACATTGTGCTTTTGTAAAATAAAGAAAACAAACAGGATGCCACTTTCTGCCACCCTGGTTTCCCTTCCGTGAATTTTGAGGTGCGCGTTACAAAAATGAATCGAAACTCAGCGTATAGGCTACTAGCAAGCTCTTACGTGTGGGGTTACAAATTTAAGAATCTGTCCAGTTGGAAGGTCCAATAACGCCCAAGCTTCAGCTTCCTCACTGATGGCATGACGTTTTCTCCTAGGATCTCCTGATACTTCAGTGAATCCATCTCTCCTTCCTCACGCTGCAGGTTTCAGAGGATATAAAGCAGCCGCAGAGCATCACTGATCCACCATGCTGAACTGTAGACGGAGTTCTCTTCAGCGTACGCTTCATTCTTCTTCCTCCACACACACCGCTGATCCAGAGGGACGAAAATATCCAGTTTTGTTTCACCGCTCCACAGAACAGAATCCCAAAACTTCTCTTATTTATATGATTTTGAGCAAATTGGAGCCGACTTTTTCTTGTGCTTTTGGGTCAGTAGTGGTGTAGTCTTGGAGTCCTGGCATGCGTTTAGTACGAGCCTTACTGAAACCTCTTGCCCCAGGTCTTTTGCAGTCACTCAAGGGTTTTTCTGATCCGTTGATAGCTTCCTTTTTCTGGCCCGTCCAGGTAGTGTAACCACTGTTCCTTTAACTTTGAACTAGCAAACTATGCTTCCAACTGTGTCTCGAGGAACATTTAGTGCCTTCGCTATCTTTTTAAATCCTGTTCCTTGTTTGTGAAGGGCGATGAAATCTTCTCTTAACTTTTTGGACCATTCTTTCAAACGTGACCCTCAACAAACCTCGCCAGTTCAGATATTTCATGTGTTCTAGCTCAAGCACACCTGTTGCAACTAATGAAGCCCTTGATTAGTGGGCTGTTTTGCAGATGTGCGCTGTTGTGAGGGATTCTGCTCAGGGGGTTGAATCATTTTAAATAATTAAAAGTTGCATTTTCAGTTTGAAACCACTTGAAACATTTGTTGTGTAGAGCTAAATTACTTTTGTTTGATTTGTTCATTGCAAACAGCTGAAAGTCTGTAAATTTTGCCAATAAACCTGATTTGCAATGTTGAATAATTTTGATTACAACTGTATTGAATCTATTATATGTTATGGTTTCACAAAATGGTTTGGCAACTTGTCCATCAAAATTAGGTCACAACTTCAAAATATTGTTAGAAGAGCTGGAAAAATAATTGCCCAAATCTTCTCTTCAGGAGATTTTTAAGAGGTCTATAAAGAAGCAGAGCCTTAAAATTATTGTTGATCCAAGCCATATTCTTCATAAAAAGCATGAGTTGATGTCCTCGGGCAGGAGATACAGTACCAACCTGAGTTGAATAGGTATAAATTCTATTGTCAATTAAATTATTGAACAATAAGTAATCATTGGTGTGTGTGGGTGAGGGTAGATGCGTGATGTGTAGGGTATTGTGTAATGTCAGTTGTAGGTATAGTGCAATATTAGAAATTCTGAAATGACTGATGTATGCCATTTAAAAAATATATTTTTGTGTTGTATTTGTGTATATATAATATAAGCATGACAGTATTTTATCTAAACTGGATTTTAGTGTATTATTGTTATTACAACCCTATGAATTATTAACTTTATAGGCTACTGTAAATGGAAAAAAATATTTTTGGGTAACACACAATAAGGTTCATTAGTTAACATTAGTTAGCATGCACTATGCAGCACTTATTAATCTTTGTTAATGTTAATTTCAATATTTACTTATACATTATTAACATCTTGTTAATGCACTGTGAACAAACAATGAACAGCTGTATTTTTAAATGTTAACAAAGATTAACAAATACAGCAACAAATGTATCGCTCCATGTTATAATGTTAACTAATGCATCTTATTGTGAAGTGTTACCACTTTTTGTTGTGCGGTATATTTGGAGCAAGTCTTAAATGAATGTTTTTGATGCACGCTTGTGAAAGCAGAGCTGGAAAAGTCGATAAGAGTGTTTCACTTCCCAGTGGCTCAAGCCCGCAGCGTCACGCTGGTCTGCACTGGTTTCACTAACTATCATCTGTTCAGTGTGTGTGTGTTAGTGCTCGACACGCACGCGTTCTGCTGGGTCCGCAGGTGCTGGGATGAGCGGGGGCGTCCCTCGTCGAGTCTCTGGCCCCTCAGCGTCCCCTGAGATTGATCACTCAAGGACAGGATCGACGGAGGAATGTTTACATCTGTGTGTGTGAGTGCATGTACAGCACCCTGAGCTGGGGAATTGCAGGGGATTTTTCTGACATTCTCGCAATCTCTAATGTGTACAACCGTCAGCAATGTCAAGTCATGTCACCTGCATTTATATAGCGCTTTAGGCTATATCGTTTCAAAGCAGCTTTATAATAGGGTAGCAGAGATTGTTTGGGCTTTACAGCAGCTCTAGAATAAAGTTATTATCGAGCTAACGTTAGTTTTTGATTGATTCACTTCTGCTGCAAAGATCATTGGTTAAGGGGCCGCTGAAAACAGAAAACGTTGAATGCGTTCTGGCCGTTCATTTGCACGACAACAGTGTTTGCCGGCTCGAGAACACAAACTTTGAAACAGGTTCCAACTCCAAGTTTTGACAAATTTAGAGAAACGTTATCATCTCTGTGTAAACTTCAAAAAACGTGAATCTGTTAAAACGCTGACGGCGGGTAGCCTACATGCATCCCAGCAAGCATTTTTGCGCTTAAAAGACGTCTAATAACCGTCCAAACACAGCCCAGACGTCTAGGCTAAATGAGTTTGGGCTGTCAATGAAAATGTAATAGACGTCTAAACCATCACCCAAGAATATAGTCATCAATTAAGAAATTAAACCAAACGCCTTGTAATCACTGTTGACTTTGCTTACATGATGGTTATTTTGGCAAAACGAGATGTAACCAAATTCATGGTTATTTCGGCTAGAAGAGCGTTACTAGCCGGAATATCGGGTCTACAGTTAACCTAGATGGTAAGATTACATATATTGCTTGCTGGGATATTACGTGTTTAGTCTATATGTCCGTTTGAATATGTGTGCGCAATAAGTAGCCTAATTATTGTAATTGGTTACAATAAGGTTTGTTATTAACATAATGTATTTACTAACATGGACTAACAATGAGCAATACATTTGTATTTATTAATCTTTGTTAATGTTAGTTAATAAAAATCCAGCTGTTCATTGTTTGTTCATGTTAGTTCACAGTGCATTAACTAATGTTAACAAATACAACCTTTGATTTTAATAACGTATTAGAAAATGTTGAAATTAATATTAATAAATGCTGTATTGAAGAATTGTTCATTCTTAGCTCATGTTAACTAAGGTAGTTATTAACTAATGTTAACTAATGAACCTTATTGTAAAGTGTAACCCCAGATTTTCAAATGAGGTTCTGTTTGCACAAAATAAAACTAAATAAAATGAGAAATGTTGCCTTGGCAAATGCAACTAGCTGAATTAAACCAAGTTGACGTATTTAAAAAATGTATTTTAAGTAATAGAAATATTTTTATGCTTTCAGTTTTAGTTAGTTTTAATAACTCTTGTTCTTTGAGAATC